TCTGTACAAGTGTGTATTGCAATCCAGGTTCGTGATTACGCGATTACGGCTGCCATTACGTGCGATTTGAAGGCATAACGCGGTTAGCGCAGGTGAACATTGCATTCGCACGTTTCTGTCCGGTGCTTCCACCACCTGCCACTACTAGTATCTATGTATGTAGTCTATGTAATAATTAACGTGTGGCCAAATTATGCACTGTAACGCGATTGCCACCTTGTAACCGCATACCGAAATAAACACCCATGAATATTCATTTTCAATCAATTCCCAAAAGATGAAAAAATATTTCAATTAATTTTTGTGGTGTTTTTTTGGTAATATAATCTCAAGCCGAATGAAAAATCGAGTTTTTACTAATTACCAGCCACATACTATTGAAAAGCAATAAAACAAATGATTGCCAACATGAATAAATTGCTTCATTAGTTTGCCAGGCGCGTTGAGCACGACACTTGCAACATTAGTTAGGTTACATCACAAGATGGGGTACGCCGACTGGTGGCTGCGTTGCGAGAAGATAAATCGCAAGAAATTACGCGAAATTGTTACAGAATCGACGCACAAAGCGCGCGCAAGCAAAATTACCAATAAGTTGCACGATTTATCATCTCGAGCGGTCTGCGGCTCGTCTGCGATCAATCAAAGGTTTATGATAAAAACGCCCCACTTACACTTTCGTCGTCTTGGGCAACAACCTGGCCCTAATAACGATCAACCACAAACAAGTTGTTTGCGTTCTTACGTCGTTTTCTTATTGCCTTACATTTGCTTCGGAATGAATGGCTTAAAATATGAGGATTTTTGCAATGTGAAAATCTATTTTTATCATTTATCCAACGTGGATTAATGACTGTTTGGGTGCAACGAAGAAGAAGATGATCAGATTATCAAAATTAGATTTTTTTGGCGAAAGGTGTAAAAATAAAGAGAAAGGGGAAAGATTAATGAAACTTAGCTGAACTTTTCAAGTTTCAGGAAGTAGATAACGTTTAATAAGGAATTTTAATTTAATTTTGGATGTACTCATAGATATTAAACGGATGATAAGTTTTGGATTTTGTTTAATCAGTGATTAAAATACCAATATTAGTCTTTGATGAATAGTTTTTATTATTTTTTTCCTTTGGTTCAACACAATGGCTGATTTTTCTAATATACGAATTGGTTTCATTAGTCTTTGTTATTTTCGTGGCGTTTGTGTTTGCTTGTTTGAAGGTGGATTTATCTAACTTCTTGGTTGGTCGTTATTTGATAAATATAGAAAGTGACATCTAAGACTGGACGGCTTGTCTGGATACGAAATTCGTCACTGACTGGCAATTCTTTTTTCTCGATTTTTCTCACAAAATGAAAAATTGTAGGATACACGTCCAATAGCTACGACTAATAGCATTGGGAAAACTCAATACACCAATGTATAAAACAAGAAAACAACTAAACAAGGAAAAACGAAATTGTAGAAAATCGTCCGGGAAACCTACAAATCGAAGAGGAAAAGTTTAAAAGTTTGAAACTTGAAAAGAAATTAACAATGTGGGACGCAGCGACGATGAAATCGAATAAATATCAAATTACAAAACAAATTAAATGACACAATTTACAAAAAAAATGAAATTAATTCAGTTTATATTTTTTAATTGTGTTACCGTATCTGAACTTTGTTGATATTTTCATTTTTGAATCAAATTTTGTTTTCAATATCTAATCGATAGTTAGCTAACTGAATGACAAAAGATTTTCATCGCTGCAGGTTGGCGAAATGCAGAATGGAAAACAAAAGGACGCAGAACAATATAGTGATAGAGACAAAAAGCATTGAAATGGCGAAAAGGACAAAGAGCACAAATAGGACACGAAATTTACGAAAAAAAAAGAACTGACGAGAATAAAGGTTATAAAAGAGAGTAGAAATACCGAAAATACTAAAAAAGGCCTAAAAGAATAAAACGGTCTACTGCCTACGGTAACAGGGAATAACCGAGTGGATCATTTGTGGATCGCATCCTGAAATGAGACAAAATGAAAGAGCTCAAAAGTTACACGTGAAACTTACAAAGTGAGAAATAAAAGTTTGTAGCACCCACATAAAAATAAAGTATTAAAAAGTGGGTGAGAGTTATTTTATATGAAAATGGATGCGATTGGTGAATTTTTAAAGCCTCGGATTCCACATTCTGGATTGAAGGATATTGCCAGGATATATGTAGCATCTGGCGGCTGAGTTTAAAACCACAGTGGATATCAACGTATGGAAAGACAGGAAGAGTTTCATTAAGTCAACGGTGAAGGGCAAAAACATGTTTTTGTGTTCAATTTACGACCTAGAGAGTGAAATTTTTGCATTGAAGGGTAGTTTATTGCAATTGGAAGATGGAAAGAGTGCACGCTTGTGTTAGTCTGTGATTTATTGTTGGATTGATGGAAACCTAGGAGACAAGCATGAAAAGAACAAAAAGTACTAAAAGACAAGACGACAAGCAGACAGTGCAATATAGAAATCCACGACTTGAGGAATTTCTATATGGGAAAGTTACAAAAGGTTTCATTTGTCGTTTTTTAACCTGCGTTGTATTTGTTTTGTTTGGGTTTATATGCAAGAATTTGTTCACGTGTAATAAATCACAATTTTTAACGATTTATAAACACTTGTGTTTGTATTTGTTTTATTTTCGTGTTCAATTTGAATTTTTCAAAATATATTTACATTCTGTAAATGCAACATTCCTAAAATAGCTTTGAGTTCCAGATGAAATGAAGAATAATGATAGTTGTGTTTGGTCGATGCTGTCGGGTCGGGGTTCTGATCCTGGTCTAGGCTTACAAGCTTAACCTACGTGAGCATATGTGTTGGTCTCGAAAACCCTCTAAATAAAAGACCCACATTCACACATTTATTTTACCAGAAGAAGACAGAGGACAGTAGTACTCTTGTATTATTCTACAATAAGCTCACTGTGACATTTCGCAAAAATTGAACATCAGGCAAAACTGGCTATTTTTAAAAATAAAATGTTTTTCGACTCCGATTTTTTCAAAACATAGTTTCCTTCCTGCTGTTTAAGCTGTAGTAGACATGTATATTTTTGACGATGTTCGATTTTGAGTTTGTACATTGCATGTGCATTTGAACGCTCAATTCCAGTCCGTTCAATTTATTTTCATGCATATTCAGCACCTCCGTTTCAGTGCAATATCCCATGACATAATACTTTTGAAAATATTCATTGCACAAGAACATCATTTTAAAAACCGTTTCCACATTGGAAACAGTTACTTTTTCTGTCATCGCTTTTATGTGTTGATTTTAATTAACCACTAATTAGTGCTATTAATTAACGAGGAGGTTTTTGCTTGGCTTGTTTGTGTTTTAATCGGTTTCGAGCTGAATTTTCGTACGCCTGTTGATTAACGTTTTTCCAAGTTTGTGCTGTCGACATTGCCATTCATACCACGGAAATGCGACCGGTGCGAAACACAAATGGAATTCCTGCCGTCATGCAAACACGCGTTTTTGCGTTCGACTAATTGAATTTTTGGTGTGGGAGTTTACTGTTTGGTGCGTTATTTCTGGAATTTTTTTTAAATCTCACTAAGCTGATTTTTATTCCAACAGAATTTTCAAAAAATATTAAATTTTATATTAAACTTTAAAATTTTTTAGGTTTTCCCAACTTTCAAAACTTAACATATTAACATTTTCTTTAGGTTCCATGTCTTCTAGTTTAAACAAGAACAAATCATTGTCGTTGTCGTAATCATCTACTTTTGGAGACATCTGTTTCTTAACATTACATCGCCGTTTAAATAAATTTAGACAATTTTTTAACTCAGCAACTACATTTTGGAAACTTTCTGATCTTGGTTGGTTGATGCTTAGCTGGACAATCACATCAGAACTATGCTCGACTAATAACTTGTTTATAATATTTTCATGTTCCTCGTAATCTTTGAAGGAAACAGACAAGTTGCTGCTCACACTCGTAGAACTCAATCGCTTTTTTCGAAGCTTTGGTGTTTTTGGTAGTTTTTGAAATCTTTCATTTCCTAATTCTGCACAAATAATTTTTATTGAATCCATAAACTGATGAATTATCTGTCGAATCACGTGCCAATCATCCAACAACTTGGTTAACCGGGCTTGGTTGTAGGCTTCTTCTTTAAATCGTTCATCTTCAAGTTTTTCTATCTCTTCATTCAATGATTTATAGACTACACTCATTTTTTGTTGCAGAATAAATAAATCGCACTAAAAATCAAACATAAGTCCTGATTAGTATTTATTAAAATATATCAAATGTTTTCGTTTTTAATACTTACATGAAACTTTTTGTTGGCTTCTAATAAATCTTCCAAATTAGAATTGTCTTCGGTATTAACCAGCGAAAATCTTTTACAGGAAGTAACAAAGGTACTAAAATGTTCAATCAAGTTCTCTTCCAAATGCTTATCAATCATTGTCACCTTTTCATTAAAACAAACATCTTTTTTATTCACTAACAAACTTTTTTTCATCGAAGAGAAGACATTTAAGTTTATTTTTAACTTTTTCCATTTATTCTCTTTCACGTTGGCATTAGAAGTCGCCTGTTTAATTTTACTTTCATAACTTACGATTGACTCATTTCGATTTGATAATAATTCAAGGACATCGGCATAAATTCTTTCGCTTACAATTAATAACTTCCACGCGGCAAATAATTGGACGATTTCACTTTTGTCAGTCGATTGATTGATGGTTTGCAGAAATAGCTGATACTTTTCACGTTTTGTCGTCTGCCGGTACTTTTGCAAGTCTGTTAATAAAACTTGGACATTTTGTAGGTCACGACGATTAAACTCGGCTGTTTTGGAAAGAATCCAGAATAATAATTGATGTTCTAAATGCATTGCGGCAACACACTATGATGAAACTTTATAAATTGCAGCGAATGTCAAAAACGTTCTGAGTAATCTAGCTATAATCACCAGATTCGGTTTTATCAGATATAGATAACAGGTTGCTGTTTATATAAGTTTATTTAACAAAATACATATTGACCACGTAATCATTTAAAAGGTTTTTAGTTTGTTTTAGTTAGTTGGTGGAATTATTTGCTTTGAATTCTTGATAAACGCGCAAACGACGTTCAATTTCACTTAAACAAAGCTAAAACAGGTACAAATTAATAGTACAAATTTAAAACAATGATGTAGTTTACCTTCATTATATCAACATCAATGCTTGGATCATTGATCATCTTCATCAAGTCTGCGTGTTTCATACTAGCAAGTGGTGGCAATTCTTTTTTCCTCCTTGAAAATGTTGCTGTTGAACTAAATAAAAAATTGTGTGAAATTAAGTTATTAGGTTAACACATTTATAAATAAGTTACTTTTCTGTAACAATTGTTGTTGTTGGTTCAAAAGTATTCACATTAGCAGTATTATTGTCAAATTTATTTTCTTCATTTTGTAATTGTTTGGCCAATTCCGATTGGTCGATTGTTGATGTTGGTTGAAATGGATTCACATTAGCAGTATAATTGACAACCTTATTTTCCTCATTTTGTAATCGTTTGGCCAATTCTTCATCCAGCTGAATTTGAATCTGCTTCTTGTAATCATAATCACTGATTGTTCTTCTTACTTCGGATATTTTTTCAAAATTCGTAATAAATTCTTCCTAAAAACATTAAATAATTTGCACCAAATGAAATGTATGGTATTTGTAAATTATACTTACATATTTAAGTTTTTCTTTTCGTTTATTCTCGATTTCTTTTTTCAATTTTGTGCCAGCTTCAGGATCCACTTCAAATAAAATACAAAAACAAATGTCTTGTATATGGGCAAGGCGTTTTGCTGTACTGTCATCAATCGAATAGATTGCAGGCTTTTTATTTTCTTGATTATGGATTGTTATTGATTGGATTGTTGTTTTTGGTATGGTATTTACTGGTGTAAAGTTGAGCTGTCCTTCGAGTTTCTTTATTTTACTTTGTACGTCACTAATGTAACTATCGTTATCCATTATTGTTTAATATTTTGAATATGATTAGGCAAATATTTAGGAATTCTGATTGTTTAGTTGTAATAACGACCAGTGAATCACAATTACAAGCTTGGTAAATTTTATAATCGAGTGAATTATTGTACAATATGATGCGAAATAGAGCTATTTGTATTACGTTATCTTTGTTATCAGCGCGCACACATTTTATTGAAGTTGTGATAACAGTTGGCAGGCATAGATTATGAAATTTATAAAAAAAAAATTGATTGTTGATTCATAAATCTACTTTCAAATAAAAATGTGTTACAAATTATTGATTTCTACTTTTCTTTCAGGTTATCTCATTAAATCAAGCAACGATGACAGTTACCACTGCACAAATTAAAGCTGTTCATAAGCTGTTTTCCTTATTTCCACTTGAATGTTTTTTTCCGCCGGTAAATGCATAGCATTACCATAATTCTTTCAATCCCATTTTTGTTTGCATTCGTGCATTAGTGAAATGTGGATTTTTGCATTTTAATCCGTGCAACCGCTTTGCTCGGTTTTTCTCATCGGTACAAGATATGCTTCATTCATCATCCGACGAGTCCAACGCGTCCTGCGAATTGTGCAAATTCTCGCGTGCTCTGTTCTCGGCACGCGCGTCGTTATTATAGCCGGAAACATTTTTCCTCGCCCACACTTGCCATAATTTAATACGCTTAATGCTACAAACTCCACTGTATCCCGGCCGTGAGTAACGACTGTTTGCGTAGAGGTGAAATGTTGAGGAATGTGTAGAAATTTACAGAAATGCATGGAAATAAATGCGCGTCGAGTGAAAGATAGAGTAGATACAAACAGGTTGTTATTCAGTACGCATATTAATATTTACTCAACAAGTTGACATTAAAAATTAAATTATTTTAAGAAAAACAAGTAAATGTTTTATGCAACAAATGCACAAATGTAGCGTGCTTTATTATGTTTGATTATTTGATTGTTTTTATTTTACCTATAAAATTCCAGTTTAATAATAAATTGTTTGAATGTTTTATAATCCATGCCAAGCTGTAACCAGTAAATTATTAGGCCTGATTATCCCTTTAGTTTGTGAAAATTGAAAACTATGATGAAATGATTGGAATTCTTGTGTTTGCCCGAAAGTATGCAAATTACGAACTATAATAATTGTGAACCAGAGTTTCCACCGTCGCGTAAGCGCATAATAAGGGTTGCGACCCTCATCATTACATTATCTTCGACCTAATACACTTTATTAGCATTATATTAATATGTATGTGCTCGGCCGATGACTACTAGGCTGGACTGGCCGAGAATTCGGAAGTGGAGATTTCGGGTTATGTCGAAATGAGAAATTGCTGCGATGAGCGCTTTTCAAGGGACGGTAAACGAGCAAATAACCATATAATTAAAACGGGATTTACAATTTTATACGTGGATTAACTTGGTTTATTAATAGAACTTGCCTCGTCAATTTGATGTCGTTATTTAATTATTTAACATTGTAACAATTGGCGTTGACATTGGTTGAAATAAATTTATAATCATAAATTAATCAACGCTTTTGTTCGAAATTAAATGGATTGTTGTTGATTATAACATGGATATACAATGATAATTATTATTGGAGGAAACATGTTTGATTTTCACAATTTGTTAAAACAATAAGCATATTTTAGCGGAAATAATTTTCAATGTTTATTTGCGTGTACCTGAATAAAATAGTTATTTTTATTAATGGCAACGTGAATTTACTCTATGTATACATGAATTTAATGCGGGGAATCTGTGAGTTACCGCATGTAATGGTGAATGCACCGGGCTGCTTTTGCTAGTTGCTCATTGCAAATCAGACAATTTATTATCAGCCGACGACGAGGCGCAATCTATAGCCATTGCGTATGGTACATCATTATTGCATCAGAGGCCCATGTTATTACGGCCATGCAGCAGTTTTGCTGTTTTGTTGTTGCGCACTGCCTGTGAACACAAATCACTGCTACTCTGGTTGACCTTCCGCCGTTGGTAATGATAATAAATGGTGATTATCGAAATGGCGTTGACGGATAATTACCACATTCAACATTTAAGTTCAATAGGATAGAAATTTAAATAATTTTAAATAGTTTTAAAGCCACCATTTAGCCGGAAGATGAAATTGTAGGTAAAAATAGAAGCAAACAAATAAAATACACCGGAAATATAAATAGAATTGCGTATTTTTGCCTTGTTGTTTTTTTCATTTGGGGTTTATATTTGGGAATGCTGAAAGTTGGCAAATCTTAAGTAGATTACTTTTGAACAATCCTTGAATAAAACCGAAAGTTCTGAAACTGGGAGAAGTGGCAAGTCGTGAAACCTGATGAATTACAGAATAACTTGTTGCTTACAAAAACATCAGATGTATTCGGATTTTAATCTTAATACCAAAACGAAATTAGACTTAATTTAACATAAACAGCGTTTGTAATTTAACATTTTAGAGCTTAATAATAGTTATTTGTTTTAAGAAATAATTATTCAAAATATTCATAGTCACTTATATTGCTTAATTTTGTTTTATTTTATTATGTATTCCAAAAATATAACATTATTTTTTCCAAATCGATTTTCTATCATATTTACACATTATTTTGTATTATCACTTTATCGTTCATGACACTCTTCATCAATTTCATTTTGCCTCGTTCTCAAGAACAGACATACAAAAAATATACCCAAACCGAATATTTTGATAACTTGATATAAGTCGCACGTTTTTCTCATTCTTTATTCTTATTTCCGTCATTCCCAAAAGTTCAGTGATCCATAGAAAAACGACACGAACTCAAAATCGGAAAATAGAATACTATGTAAGACAAAATGAGTAAAAGAAAACGATACGTAACAAACCTTTATGAAGTGAAAGAAACGGAAATATGAAGTATGAAATGAGAAATGAGAACTACGGTTTTGTGTTTCGGGCATTGTAAAGCTTTCTATCAGGAGAGAGAGAAAGAGCGTGGAAAATGAACATAGAGTACCCAGAGGAAAATATGTGAGTAAAGCAGACAAAGCAAAAATATGCCTACCACCTACGCATTCTGTGCACATGCTGTTGATGTAATAATGGAGGCTTTTATTTACCGCGTTTTCGCATTACACTCTTGTGCGTCGACTCATATCAGTTTACTCTTCACATTCCGAACGCCTTCCACGTTCTGATCCATTCTAGTCATTCCAATGTCATCATATTTTTATTTTATTTTATTTTCTTTATTTCTCAACTGTTTTTTTTCATATAAATTTAACATAATAAAATGACGAATGATATGAGGTTTTTCACCCCTTAAATGTTGAATACTGTATGGTTTTTCTTCCTCACATTTTGTTTTGTGCCGTTTTTTTCGGCTTAAACTGCGACATAAAGCGCCGAAGAAGAAAAGATATGTATATTATATCGATAAGGATTGCCGGCGCACGACGCTTGCACTCGAGCGCTGTCACTCGCAGTTGGCAGTAAACCAACCCTCGGGGGTAACTTTTGGCAATGCGGTGTAGTGCCACAAGTGTTGAGGGCAACCGGGAATGAACATAGTGTGGGTGATTTCAAAGGAAAGTTAAGATTTATGAGCATTTGTTATGGTTAGAGAAGAATATATTGAAAATTGCTACAATTCATAGATTTACAGAAAAATTCTCTTCTGGAAATTTGTATTAAAGAAAAAATATTTATAAAAAATAAATAACTATAGAAGCCTACTTTCAGAATATGAATATTTATGATCAACAAGTTACTTCACAGTTTACCAAAATTTTTACTTTCATCCCTCTTATAACTTTCTCCCTTTTGGAAATGAGGTTGTTCTAAGTTAATCGCCTTAAGATTTCCCAACTTTCACTCCAACTCGTCACATATTTTCCACTCCATGACGATTGCAAACTTTTGTATTCTTAAACTTGTGCACTTGAGTATTTCAATAAAAACAAAAGCGTTTTAACACTCTAGTCTCCTTCAAGCACGTGCTCTTCCTACCAAACTGTGAAGGGTAAACGAAAAAGAGGTCGCTGTCGGTATGTAACGTGGGAATATTTAATAACGACCTCGTTTTTCTTTGCGTGTTCACTCATAACTCATTTACACCACCAGTCACACTTCGTGCGCAAGTCCATGAATCCGTGCTCGTGTTGAGAGGTGCGAGGGTGAAAATTTCGCACCGCGCCCGAAGGATGAATATGAATTGTTACAATCTCATTTAGAAAATTCCGCCAACATTTGGGCGACGAGTGTTTGGATTTTGTTTCAACGGAGAGGGTTAAGCGGGATGTCAGAGTGTTATTGTTATTCCTGGATCCTCTGCGTTTCGGTTATTATCACCTTATGGTGTTAATGAACACGCGTTGAGAATATTTCATTAAATTCCATAAAAAAAATCAATCAGCTCACAAATTATTAAAAAATTCTATAAATTAATTTGTGCCATTTTTATTTTTATTAAATCCAATAAATAATGTTTATTATCTTTTGCTGAGAGAAATTTCACTTGGCACATTTAGTACCGGTACATGTGGCACACTTGCGCGCCAAGAATAACAGTTTGCTAAGACTTGGCAAGTTTTCCCGCTTGTTCCTTACGCGCATAGGCCGGAAGAATGTCTAATGAGTCTTAAAAATGAAGGAGCCGCCGACGGCAAAAAACTTTCATTACGCTTTCAACGTCTGGAACTATGCCAAGGTCGACGGTCGTTTTCTCACCCTGCTCATAGTAAAACGCCTCTGAGCAACTGAATTCTGGCAAGAATACTGCGTGAAAATTAAATTTGAATTTTGCTGCTAATCATTTTCGACTTACACGATTTAATCATGTTAAACATTCTTAAAACAATTAGAATGTAATTGCGTTATTGAATCAAATCGTGATTATCATTAATTTAAAAAAAAACTATATGGAAATATAAAATGAGAATTTATGCAAATTCTGAATGGCGAAAATTCTAAAGTTTAAAATCAAGAATACAAAAAATGGCATTATACTTGAATTTCTCCATTTATTTCTGCTCAAACACAAAGGGCAACAAACAGAAATAATTTTTCTGTGCATTTTGAGTTTTCCATTCCTAGCTGCGCATTGTTCCAGCAATCATTTTATCATTTCTTTTAGAATAAATATGAGAACACAATAGATGCATCCGCATCTTTTAGAGATACAATCTTGGCGGTGAATAAATAGAAGCAAATATGTGAATCTTGTCTAAGCGTTACTTGAGGAATCATCTTTATGTAAAAGTGCATGTTTGATCAATTTGCATTTGCATTTTCTGCTGTTTTGAATATTTGAATCGTCTTTTGTCTCGTAATAACAATAGCAAAGTAGAATAATTCTCACAGTGACATTAGCGCCTAGGCGAGTGCATAACCGCCTGCCTTCGGCAAACCACTGACGCAAGAGAAATCCAATAACCCAACTAATTAATATGTATTCGAAGCACCATGATTGCGTCTAATACAATTGGAATTGTCTTTCTCGCGCGACGTTGTGCCGCAGGGAGTTTGGGCGCGAGTCCATCCTGCATGAAAGATAATACCTTACTAAAGCAGATTTACAAACATTTCATATTATGCATTGAATTCTCGTTCATTCTAGGAATCAATGCTGATATAAGAATAATATCATTCATTTATTCTGCTTTATATTTCTTTTGCATAACAATTCAATATTTTTATTCTTGTGTTTGCATTCAGATCTTTCTAGCAACGTAAGTAATTTCATCATGAACTCTCAATTTAAGAGTTTACACGTGAAGTGTACATTAATTACCTAAGTACTCAAAAGTAGATTATAAAAGTTGTGAAAGTAAGATAAAAAATTTCTTTGCCTTAATCATACTTCTACATTTTATAAATAAAATATTAACCGTGCTTGTGGTCGTATAATTAATTAAATTATAAAACTCATAATGAAGTAAATCACATTAAATGAAAAACGCCTTTTTGCCTTTTTATTATTCATTTTCATTTTTGATTTAGATTCGAAATATTAAAATATTCTATCAGATTTTTGTCCAGGTAATTTTTTGACTTTGCATCCTTTGTCATCATTTAAACGTTCATTCTCTTTTTCTTTTTCAATTTATTCGCATCCGGCGAACGTCAGCTCAAGTTTAATAGGTACATTAATTTTTATTATCTAACGAGTCATTAAACGAAAATAATTACTTCAAACTCGTTTCAAGAACAAGTATTATTTAGTAAGTTAACTTCTAAACAAGTAAAGAAACATTATGATTGTATTTCAGTTACATTTTTTAAGTATTAAAACCTATGTGAATATTTAATAAAAATTAAAGAGGTAATGAGAGTCCACACCTTAAATGCATCGGTTTACTGTCTAGACTAAATAAGTTTAATCCGATTAAATATAATACTAAATTTCTCGTAAAATGTAAAAATTTAGTTTAGCGTTAAATTGATCTATTACTTACTGCTAAATACAGTTTCTTGTTGAAACTACTTTAAAGTTTAGTTGTAAAGCGATTATAGTTCAGCTTAATTACTTGTTATGTAATTAATTACTGCTTGTAATTATCAAAGTAATATTCCAACGATTCATAACGTGGCATATTAACATAAATAAATGATCTTGATACATTTATTACAATTCTATTGAACATTTGTTTTTAGTTATTTTTAGATATATTTTACACTAACACAAAAAACAACAAGGGAAAACACATTTGCTTTGGATTCACGATTTTGCCATTCAGGACTTTTCCAGTATATATACCTCATTATTGACGAGGGGCGACGACAAGATCTCTTTACATATTGACACCGGTTTCTTTGATCTCTGTCAAATCAAACGCTTTGTGGCAACTCGGCAAATTTATCTCAGGAGCAACATTCTGATATAGAAATTTTCACACGTTAGTTATAGCCTGATCTGTATCTAAAAGAAACAAAGGATGTATGATAAGGAAAACTGATAAAAATTGTGATAGAGCGTAGTTTTACTGTGCTTGCAGGATAAAACTTAAAAGAAGAAACACTTGTCTTTATCTGACATCCTGACAAAAGGTCTAAGTTAGTATCCAGTGCCAAAAAGGCACTCCACCTATCGCTAGTCTATTGTTATTACGAGCAACACAAAAAAGGCAACTTTAGACTATCCCGTTGAACAGTTTGAAGTGAAGGAGAAGTGGAGTAAAGTGTCTTTCAGCTCTCAATCCGCTTTTCATACTGAAAGTTTAGAGTTTTTGTATTCTTGTAGCTATTTTTAGTTTCCACTTGAAAATGACTAAAAATACATAAAATATTGTATTATATCTAAGTAATTGTTTTATTTTTATTGCAGATACTTTGAAAACCATACCAAAAAGCAGCTGTAATATTCGAAGCGAAAGGCAACATCGCGCACCAAATAAAAGTAAGTTTTCAATTTAACTTTTTTATCTTTTTCTCTAAACACTGCAGGCATCGCAAGGATACGACTCGGGAATCTTAGCGATTTGCGCAATTTCTGAATTTATTCGCGATTTATCACATTTTCCATTTTATACTTTTCCTTTTTGTTTCCGATGTCTGCTGTTTTCCCAAGCGCCCAACATGCCCAGCAATTTCGAAGAGTTTTCACCATTCAACACTTTTATTTCTCTTTTGTTTTATCTTGTTTTATATTTGATTTTATTTTAAGGAGTTTTAAAACAAACGATTTTGTTCTACGAAGTTTGTTTATGTAAATTAAAGTTGAATGCAACTATCGATAAAAGAATAATGAAATTTTGTTGGCGTTGCATTTGGCCTTTTGAAATTCGAACGTTGATAGAGTTTAAAAGCTGGATGCTCTGATATGCATGGTGCATATTGAATGGAAGGGTGAAAACACTTAAGCGAACGTGATATGCGCTGGATGTGGATTCAGTAGGCCAAAAAGGCTGGAAACCTGAAAGATATCATTATTATTTTAAGAGGCATAACTTACGTAGGCGTAGACTACGTTTAGTTCCAATATTGTCGAGTAGTCGAAGAATTGTATCATTTTAAATATAAAATCCGGAATTTATTGGAAAATATTTGAAATAATTTTAAAATTTATGCGAAAATAATTTGCATTATAATATTGTCAACTGCATTGGTTGGCGACTGTCGACGGCGGCTGGTGGCGGCTGGGAATACAAGTTCACCGCCCCCGCAAAATGCTCCGCTCCCACCAAACCATTTCGTGCTGTTCTTCGGTGAAGGAGCGCTGCAAATTCAGTCTCTGCCCGGCGCCTCCACACGACGCGCAAACTCACGAATGCAGTCGCTACATTCGTGAAACAAACGCGAACGTGTTACTGAAGTATAATTAAATTTAAATTCAATTTATTTATATTAATTATTTCTATATAATGAACAATTATCAAGTTTAACACGATTGCAAAGTTTTAAAAATACGTGGTGTTAGTGAATTAAACTATGCGCAAACAAGTTTAAACGTAATTTTAAAAAAATAATATTTTTTAATTTTTTTAATCTTTAATCTTAGATGCGCAAAATTTCATTTGGAATGAAGTTAATTAATTAACACATGACGCATTATTGGTTTAAAATTAATTAAACTGTTTCAACCGAGCGGGGGTAATGTTGCAGTATTATATAGCGAGTGGAAACTTGATCCGGATTCGGTCGGGTTGCAATTCACGATGATGATGATTTTGCGGGTGTTGTGCAAGATATTTGCTAATTTGCCAAGTTTTCCCAGCGTTGTGCGTATAGCGAGAAAGTTAATTACTCCGAGTTACGCAATTTTCGTGCATGCGTATTTATGCCTATGATCTGGAAAATCTATTGGCGTGAATTGTTGTTAATTTAATTTAAATTTTGTTTACTGCAACTGATACATTGTTCAAATTTTACATTTGCCAAATTTAGTTCTTTTGGACCATGAAATTTACTTTATTTATTTTTATTCATATTTTTCATTTGATTAAATATAAATAATTTTTTTTCATAAATTTTTATAGTTATTTGATTGAAGTCAAATATTCCTGTAACTTTATAAATGGATTTAATACTTTATACAAAATATATTTTTTTGTATATTTGCTTTCAAGTTTATTAACTGGAATTGACGAATTAGTTATTTTCCTGTTTCGTTATTTGCAATTTTTTGCGTTTACTCGTAGCTTGTCGCAGCATGGTTTTGTTGATTCTACGTTAGTAGTTGTTTTCATATACATATGTTTGTTTTTTGCTGTTCCGTTTTGTGTTTCGGTTTTTACTCTCCGGCGACGTTGTTGTTTGATGAATGATACACGCACCCCGAGTAATTTTTTACATCACTCTTGAGCTGGTGAGCAGTGTGCCACCCATGCTATCCTATTTTCGGAAGTCCGGCGGCAAAAAATGCGATTTATTGCTTTAGCAGCGCCCATCGTACTGCTGTTGCTTTGACTAACGCTAGAATGAAATTGGCTTGCGGCGATTTTATTTGCCAGCAACACCCACAAACTCGCTCACTAATCAAAAAAATGATTCCGAAATCAAATTCCAAAATACTTTTTGCAAACTGCCTATTTTTCTATGAAATTAAAATTTAATATACACACTTTTGCTTTAATGTGACAGGCTTATATTATTTATGAATTCCGGCGCTTCCACCAGCAAAATTTATCGACTTTAAACCAATATTTTCTTAGAATTAATTTTAGTTTTTCCATGAATATCATAGAACTTAAGCGAAACTGCATAGAAAAATGCATAACGTTTTGTATGCATAGCAGGGCGCACAACTTTTCTACTTCCTTCCGTCTTCTTACCTAGGCCAGGGCATTCAATAACGAAAAAATAAAAGTTGGAAAAATGTACTCAAAACTTCACGCTCACCTTGCATTCAGACCTCATCTTAGAGTCTTGGAGTCGATTTACATTTTAACAAGATAAGAGCGCCGAAAACACTTATGCGCCAACATGCCACCCCGCTGGTTATTTTTATCAACGCCTTTCGTCATTACGACATTATTCCGACTCATCTGAAATTGCCAATTACGACCGTTTACGGCGGTGTTTACGACGCTTGCGTTCTTTTTGGCGGGCCAGGAATTTACGAGTTTTTAACGAGAAATCCATTTTTCACAATCGTGTTTGCAGCACGCCAGCAGGGCCGTTTTTATGTGTTGCTTGATATACCGAAAGCGCAGAAGGCGGGTGTTCATTATCGCCGGCTACAAAAAAAAAGAACCAATGAAGAGAAAATCAAAGAAAAGAGACGTAGTGTGCAAAAAATACGTATAAAACACTGAAGGCGTGAAATGCGACTCTTTTTGGAATTAGAGCATACTTCTGGCGAAGAAAGCGCATAAAACATAAAACCAGTCTACAATGACATAAAAAATGGTAGCTATTTTTAACATGCGCCAATTAGTTGATAAAATATTGTGGAAAATATTTTTGGCGGAATGAATAGGCAATTGCGGTATCATTTTCCAAGTATTATGTTTCATTCAACAATTTTATACTAATTAGGTATTTTATAACAAAAATATATCGGCTTTGAACTTCTAGAATATATACTCAAATTAAGCCATATTCGTAAGACTATACTGTGTCTATATTGTAGTGTTATTTTAAGTAGATATATATGTGACGTCAAGTTGCATTAAGTTACAACCCACGCTCGCGTGTTAAACATGCTAACACGAATTCCATGCTACAGTATGAACAATAGTTGCGGCTGATGGCATTTGCATTCTAAGCGACGAGGATAGTTGTTTGTGTGCAGTGGGCGGAATTAAACACTTTGGTACAACAATTACTTTGCAAATTACAAAATATATTTTTGTTTTCAGGCTAGGAGTTATTTTTGTTAAGTTGTAATTAAATGTTTCTCAAAAAATAAAATTGCTCATATTTTTAATTTTGGCAGTAAAAACTATTGCGACGCCATTAAAAATGAGAAAAATAATTTAGTTATTTCAATATTTTATTATCTTGTATAAGTTAACTTAGAATATGAAAAAAAATGTTGAGCTTTAGGCTTGAAGTGGAACCCAAATCGTACTTAAGAATGTCTCGCAGTAAAAAAATGTTGCCTCTTATAATACCATCAATATATCTCTATCTTGGCAGGAAAAAAATCTGAAAATACCCGAGAAGAGTATTAAACGATTATTTCTTTTGTATTTTTTTGTATTTTGCTTGGTTATATCGCTCGTGTTTTTCGTCCTAAACACAGCAAAAAAAACATAAGGAATTGGTTTAATGGGATATTAATGCTTTGGCATTTAAGTTGAGCCTAACAAAATTTACGCAAGATGAAGGAAGCCTCAGGAATACCAGAATAAAAGCACAGAGGCGTTGAATGAGCCATGGTCGGAGGTTTGGAAGGAAGCGAAAATAATGAAATGTGCAGGAAAACGACCGACTTCTGAGTGGAGACGCTGGCTGGTGGAGGCGCCGAGCCTCAGGTGTTTGCGCGCCGCTCGACGCGAATCGCTTTCGATAATGTTTTGAACGCCTCCGGGACTAGGGGTGCGCCCGGGTTTTCCTCTATTCATTTATGAAATTGAATTGCGGCTGCAAGGGGCAAACAAAAAGCGAAGAAAACGCTGCGGTTGAAAAACGCGTTTAAACGATATTAATGTTAATTTTTCAGCGGGCCTCTTAATGAAAGACATAAAGGACACAGAAGACACAACGAGAAATTAAAATAAAGCCTGCAATAAATTACGAAGACTAATTAAATCATTTACAACAATAAAAACCACAAAAATATTTAAAAATGTTAAATGCAATGTGTCCTTGAGAATTCTATCAAATGTGAATGCACTTAACAAATTGTTATTCAATAATTTGTTCGAGTGTGTTTGGGTGTGTGTGTGTTGTGATGGTGCGCGCGAATGACGGGCGCCCACCGACGACGCTGTAATGCGCCTGCTGACGTGGAACTCGCTCATCATGTTCGACATCGTCTTCGTCTTCTTCCTCTTCTTGATCGGCGTCACGTGCCTCGTGTATTACCTGCCCGGCAGGCGACACGCCGACGTCGACGACGAGCGTCCGCTCCAATGCTACGTGACGGTGGCGGCCGCCGGCGGTATGCAGGCATCACCAGTTGATCATGTCTAACCACAGTAAGCGTCCAACTAGCTAAACTCAATTTATTGCTTTATTGCTTTTCGCACAAATAATCAATTTTAGAATTCCGTCTCTGACTGTGTTATTTAATTTTTCTGTTATTTTGAAGTTCTAGGGCGTTGAAAATCAATATTCTTTTATGCGTGATTAAATTATAATCTGGGTATATACCCGTATATATAAAACAATGTCGCGTTACATTGTTACAACATTTATAAATCAAGAACGGATGGACAGATTTGGATGATTTATGTGTTGTTGTTGTTTGTCTCTGTTACGAATAGCAGAATAACTATTAAAAAAAGAAAATTATATCTTAGGGTTTTAAACAGGAAGGAATCGACACATACGAGTATAAGGTCTTAAACGGCGAAGTAAACCTTAATTATCTTTTCATTAATAACTACGGAGACGAACTCGAGGGCAAAAGCTATTTTTTAATATTTTGAGGTCTCTAAATATTTATTTTAAAAAATGAGCATTGCTGGAATATAAATATACCCCAAGATCTCTTTCTGCCAAAGCAGTTCCTAAACAAAGATGACCCTTTTAAAAGGTACCTTTGCATTATGCTACTTTTATTGCGTGTGCTTTTGCATGCACATGCATGTCGTCTTCTGTAAACCCACATTGCATATGCTCTTAGCAAATCAACATTGCGCCCCCGCGTTTGCTACACACTCTACTAACCGTCAAAGTGAAAAACGTCAAAGTAATAAAGTATCCGGCTTACCTTCTTGTTTCGGTACTTTCAGTTGCTTTAGATTTTCCACCTTCTTTCTTTTTGCAGTCTAGGAGCGATGCTTACTTCTTTGCTCTCTACACTTAAACCTATCGGGTTCGACCTTTGGAGGAAGACGAGTAGAACTCTGATGTTTCGCTTGACGCGCGCCAAGTGTAAACAACTCTTTGAGAAGCGCAACCCCGTTCACATATTACATCTACCTTTTCATGCTGTCTCCCTTCTTAGTTTTGGGGCTGTGAACATTCGATTTTCTTCGCTTTGTGCGCTAGTCTTTTTGGTTGTGCTTCTATGCTTCTTTGGCTGGTGTTTTTGAGGTTTTGCGCATTATTCGCTCTACTTTGGCGGAAAGCTGCGGCTTAGGGCTGTCTTGAAGAAGTTCTGACACTGACGAAGAACTCCACAACCTCAAATGTACCAAACCAAAGCCGATATGCGGAAGAAACACTTTTTCTAAGTCTTGGGTCTCAAAAACAGACGATGTGTTTTTAACACCTTTGAAAGTTCATATTTATTATTTACATTACGTTAAAGTTGTAAGAGAATAATAGCAAAATAAATCTTTATATAACTTGCATGATATTCTAATTTAGTTTGAGTGAATTCCAAAGTTGTATTGAAAACTATCGTTAACCAAAACTCATTCTATAAAATTTAGCAATCTTAAAGTTTTCGTTATCGTAATGCCTCATAAAGCTCCACGTACCTACTTACATAAACTTGACTTTAACCAACTTGAATTTTGTAACATTGCAAACGTAACATACGTTCACCAACATTAAGTCTTATTTGTATGAGGTTGTACATATTCCTGGAAGACTTTATAACAAACTTTGCGTGTAAATATTCAGACTTCCATAGGCATACATCCTGTTGAAATTAAACAAATTAGTTTCGAAGTTTTATTACATTTGTTTGATAAATTCGAAAAGTTTTAATTCTTTTTTAAGCTGTAAATTTCAGGTTTGGTTACTTGTCAAAGCGGACGGATAATTTCCCAAAAGCATTTCTTGTTTCTTTGGTATTTGAGGTTGAGATTGAGGTTTTGCAGAGTTTATAATTTTGTAAGCAGAGAAATAAGATGAAATATAACGAAACAAACGAGGCTGTATGAGAAGAAACGAGATACGATGAGCGAAAATATGAAAATTGTGCTTTGGAAAACCGGCAAGAATGATGAGCAGACCGCATAGATTGCGTTTAAGTGGTTTCATAATCGACCGAACGATGATATTATTACAGATTTCTGCTACAAACCAGCTAAAACTTTAGAAATATTAAAAACGTGAAATTTACCAGCTACGAGAAAAAATTATTATTTTATGAGATAATACAAATCAGTGTTTAATAATTTTTGGTTTTGGTTACTTTTCGATACGTTTGTGATGTTTTCATTCGTGTAAGTATGTCAGACTTGATGAGAGTGAATGGGCGCACGAGGATGAGCAGTCACATCAGGTGGAAATAATATTGATGAACGGATATTGCCACATTACGCTCGCTGCAGCTCGAGGGCGTCATCAGCGTCAAAATGCATATTTCACCTGTAATGTCATAAATCGTGCGATGCTGCGCACATAATGGCGGCGAGTTAATATCAGCAAGCGGATTGGAAACAAAGTTTTGCAAACTATTATATCAAGGAATTAATATACAGGGGTTGTGGGTTTATTGCAAAATCAAAATATAGAGGTATTAGATTGGCGATTTGTTGTACTGCTTGCAAAATGTTGACATGTCATTGTGTTGATTTTTTACCTGGTATGCGAGCGATTATTATCCCTCGGCAGGTACACAATGAAAATAGAGTATGAATGGCAGGACGTATTGTCGATGCGATGTCAAAAATGATATAAGGATTTGGAAGAACTGTGTGTGGGGAGTGATGTCGGTGTGAAAAAAAAGCTCACGTGGCTTTGAACGAAAATTGCTGAAAACACTGAAAATACAGCTGAACGCCTGAAACGCTGTCGATGGTGGAGAGAAAAGCCCGGCTATATCGAGCGCTCAAACGCTCACCATCGTGCGCAAAAAGTGTTGACACGTGCGTGATTGATTGCATTATTTTCGTCTGAAAATTTGCGACAAAATGCCACCAGAATTGCGAGATAATTTCACAATTGTTGGAAGTTACAGTAAAGCATTTCTTTGTCCAAAACTTGGAATAAAAGTTGCATTATATTTGCATTTCTGTGTTTTTTTATTGAGTTGAAATATAAACTTGAAAAATTGAAGTAAAGTTGATTTATTCTTGTAACTTAAAAGAAAACTAAGTAAGAATATGTTGTTGAGCAACGTTGTGACGTCCGGGAACGACATAAACTTTCCCGTTCAACTTGTTTGCCCCGTGCCGGTCTGTAACTTGGGCAATTACGCCCTCCGTAATAAAAGCCATAAATTATGGACCCGATTCGAGACCGACGCGGCTTGTCCACGAATGCAAGTTGACTAAATAGGTTAGGTTTGGTGACTACTCACACCGACACAATGTGAAACAAAGTGAACGGACGAAGAACGGAACTATGTGACTCAACCGAAGGGGTGCGAACAGCTTTAAAGCGAGGCCTAGAGAGTGAAGTTTGTGAGTTTGTGCGATAAGTAAGTTTAAGTATACGTGAAGGACGCTTAAACAATGTTCGCACTTTGTCGGATTAGTTTTAGCTTGAGTAAAACCCTTCACAAAACCATAAAAAACAAACTGTATGCATCCGCCGAGTAAGCAGTAAAGTGTAAAGTTTCTATTTTGTTCTATTCGTAAGTTTTAGGAAACAGAATATAGAAATATATTCTATTCTTCAGTCAAGTTTAATTTTTGCTCACAACCTGTTTGTATACTCCCACAAATCGAAAAAAAAACTCAACCTCTAAAAGTCTCATGATGCCAAAAAGCTCGCCTATTATTCTTCTCCTTCCTTTTTGTCTGTGTTTTTGTACCGTACTTCACTATACTCCACAGTATACGACTCTTTCCTTAAATAAAAAAAAAAACGAAAAGTATAAAAAGAGAGATTTCCGGTCAACAACTCTTGATTCATTCTCTGGTTTGCTTCTCGCTCGCACCACAGTCTGAAATAATGAAAAGGAATATCAATTATTGATATCGATAAGATTTACTTCCCGCTGGGATTTGCTCTGAGTCCACCCATTCACTGATATTCTCTAAGTCATCTTGGTTTTGCTTTCTATTCTCGGTCCGGATTGGACAAGGAACAAAAAATCCTCTTATATTTGATTGATGAGAATTTGAACAAACCTGTGGCTTTGATAACCTTTCAACCTTAAATCTTTCATCACAATAACGACATGTTAGATTTAAGTGCGTTTCACCGATTGATTTTTTATAAAAAAGTAATAAAAATTTCGAACAAACTGGAATGTTTTATTTTGCATCGCGTGTGCAACTACTGATAGGAGTTTTCAGTTACATTCGCGTTTTCCACACGTTTGCGTCGTTGCGTTGAACGGTGTAAATATTAGCTTTCACGTGAATTATTCAGAACTGAATCAGATTTGCATCGACCGGACTATCCAATACTCGGGAAAAATTGTGAAATGAGTGGATCGTCAATGGAAAACTTTCGTATTGTGCACTTGTATTGCACAAGTGAATTCTTGGAAAATTCTAACATTTGCAATCACGTTCGGAATTGTAATCGAATTGGAATGCATTGAAAAATGCAAACGTATTGAATGCGTTTCAATATTTAGTGGTTGTAATAATTTATTTAATAAAATTTTCACTTTGTAAATTTATAATTTTCTGTCTAGGGAAACGAGAAGCAATGAGATATTGCAAAATAAGGGTATAAGCATGATAAGCACGAGAAGCGTGAGCAAACACGATTCGCTAGCTCACTAGATGGGGAATAAGTTTGAAAAATATAAATCAAATTTTACGCCGAGCGTGTACCCGCTCTCGAACTAAAGTATGCAAACAATTCGTTTCTTTCGAAAACAAGCGTAATTGCCTTTGCACGCGCTCGTCGAATGTTTGCCGTGGATTTTTCGCACCACCAACTTTGAATTATTTTTCACTGAGTAATTTTTCCTGTAAGTGTGCAAACATATTTTGAATCCGACAACAAAATATGGTTTGAAACAAGAATTTCCTTTTTATATTAATTAATAGCATAATACAAATATTTTATCGCTGCTTTATTTTATTTTGGACCTGCAATAAAATGTACAAATTTTATCAATAAATTTAGAGTTCCTAATTTGAAACTGATCGAAATACATACGATAAATTTTATATAGAGATATTTTATAGGTTTAGTTTATTATGGGAATTTTTTGTGTACTCGTTGGGAATGGGATTGTGTTGTGATTCAATTTTACGAGTATGTCATATCCAGACCCGATGCAAAACAAAGAGTGGATTAGATTTGCCGTCTGCAATTGGCGACTGAAAGCTTAGCACGATTCCAGCTTCGTCGAGCAAGCATTTACTGAAGTACTCAATATCGAAATCATTTGACTGAATGATACTCAATACCTGTATTGATATATATTTTGAAATCAAATGTCTTGATGCGTACAGTAGTTTAGAAAGCTGAGCTATTGATATATTAGACAGATTAAATTATAGCGAGACAAGTACCTCTTTAAAAAGAACATTATTTTTAGAAAAACTGTGGAGAAATGATACAATAGTACAGTTTATAAATTGAATGTACTTTTAATGTGCTTTAGAATTGCTGTAAACGTTATTCTCGCTAATAAAGATAAACCCCGAACGTAAAATGTAATTCCAAATCGCTTCCCATTCAAGATTTATGGTATAGTTTTCCCATGAGAATGACCAACATTACACAATTAGTAAACCTGTAAAAGTGCAAAACTGTAAATTTACGCAACAGCAGCGCAACATTTTTCAATTTGTCCCGAGCATGAAAAGCACTTATCTCGGCAAAAACGACGAACCAACCGAAGCGAGAAGATAAACTGCATGCTGCACGCTGCAGCATCAACCATTCAGTGAGCCCAGTTTCCACCAAAAGCAGAGCTAGAGAAAACTAGTCACATTTAAGAGAAAGAGAATGAGAATGTGTAATACTATAAGAAAGAAAAAGAACACTATTGTGGCTGCAATCGTGTAATCATTCGCTTTTCGCACAAAAAGCAATTTGGCGTTTGAGACTACCGCAGCCTGTGCAAACCGGTATTATGGAGAGGAAAGGGGGATTCGGCGTGGGTGTGCAGGCGAAGTCGCAGTTAATATCGAAACAAATGTACTTCGAGTTGCCGCCTGCGCCTGTCGAGGGAGAAACGCGGTCTCGGCTCGATTCGATACCGGAATAAAACTAAATAAACCTGTAATAAACTACCGTAACTAATGCACTCATTGCCCACTACAAAACGAAACGTAAAAACATTCTTCACATATATAACGCTTTTTTATATTAAACAGTAATGTTAGTATTTCCAAATAAAATTCGACAAATAATATTGCTAATTTTTTGTGCTAATAAAATAGTTTTAAATATTTGTTTTTTACAACTTGTATTATAGATATAGTTAGAGCCAATCAACAAACTTTGTGCAGTTTGCAGGCGCAGCAGTTCCGATAAATCGAATCAATTGTTTTGGCCAAAACTCAACTTCGATTGATTGCGTATTGATTGACGCTAAATGTTTTACGATTCAGCTGATGCGCGCGGGCGGAGAGCATATATCTGATAAAAACTTTGCGTTTGGTGGTAGCATTACTTTTGCATGGTTGGATTGATGGAAAATCAATTAATTGATATGATTTGACATGACATGAGAGAAAATGGCAACATTTTCTGTTTCGATTCAGACTAATAAGCTGAATAAAATATTCCGACGTTTTAATTGGGTTATGTTAATATGAAACCATGTTAATTATAGCATTTTAAGTTACAATTTTTTAAATTTAACAAACAATATATTACTTTGATGATATTTGTTCCATGTAACGTTTTTCTTTGTTGCTTTTTCTATGTAAATTTCCTCGACTGTTGCAAAGTCATAATATGCAACACATTGAAAGTTCTTGCGCTTTGTTTTTGGCTTCCCATATGAAAATGTTCACCTACACACTTTAGACCCGAAGTTAAACCGGGAGTTGAAGTACCCTGCAATTTTGCATCCAAGAGAGCGAGCCACAATGAGAGATGAAGAGGGAGGCAGGAAACAACGCCAGCGGTCGACACAATGCAAACTAACTACCGACCCGAAATGTATAATAGTTATGCTGTTTAAGGGAATTTTCCACAAAACGCGAAAACTGTCTGTAAAGCCGAAAATCTCCGTTAAAGAAGAAAGAATTTCATTGTACATCATAAACCCACAAAAATTAAATTATTTTAAATGGACTGGAATTTTATGCATAATATAATAAGTTTAGTTAATTAGTTAATGCGCATTATGATTGAGCGTTTGGTGTTTGAAGTTTGTTTTTGGAATTTTGAAAGTTTGTTCACAGTGCGCACTCACAAGCTGTTTTTCGCCATTATATCAGCATGTGTTGGTGTAAGTGTAACCAGTGCAACGTTGGCGAAATGTAATTAAGGATAATTGCACGTCCACAAAACGCGCAAACAATTTTACCCCATTGGTGGCGTCGTTGCCCGGCGCCTCCACTTGCATCCGTTTATTATCCATAAGTTAGCAATGTGTCTGAGCTTTTATTCACAATAGAATGCCAACTATTTTTACAAACTGTCTGTGCTTCCATTGATCATTACGGAAGATCAAAAAATATCTGTTGCATAGTGGGAAATGAAACGTTTCATTCATGTGTTTGAAAACAGTTTCTGATTTTAATTTCAGTATTTTCGGTGCGTTTTCGTGCGTAGCATTAATCTAAGTTTTTTTCACATGTTTTCACGTACCCAGTGGGACCACCGGTAAATTTGGTGCTGAATTCGTCCTGAAAAGTTTTATTGCTTTGCCATGAACGTGCCCGACTTTACAATTACTAGCAGCAAAGGCATTTAAATGCTTTTTGGTGATTTGTTTTTAGGTTTAATGCGTCCACGCAACCCCACAAGCGAACGGGTTTAATGCGCGACGTTTTAATTTATCGCGTGCATGTGTTTTGCGTTTTTAACTTTTCAACGCCGAATTGCAGCAAGGGAATACATTAATAAATTGTGCCGCCATGCACACGAGTAGTATGCTTAATGTTTTAATTTTAAAGTGGTGATGAGTTAAGTGTTGAACATGTTGTAAATTATGTTGTATGTGCTTTTGCAATGGCATGTTAAAATGTGGGCCGTGTTTTAATTTGCAGAATGCCGCGTCCGCGTAATGCAGCAGTAGGACAGCAGCAGGTCGAGCCGCCGGGGCGGCAGGGGTTGCCGGAATTGCCGTCGCTCGGCAATCTGCTGACGGCGCGCCCCGCAGGTCTCAACGAACCCGAATGCTGGGCAGTGTTGTGTCAAGCTGTGCAAGCACTGCAGGATCTTTTTCTTTCTGGTAAGTTAACAAATTTATTTAGAATCTTATAGTATAAAATCAATAATAGCGGAAACGTAAACTTAGGAAGCAATTTACTTTTAATTTCATGACATTGTGAAGCAGTATAAGGCGTTTTCGCACGTTTAATGTAATTTCCTCATTACACGAAAGTTTGCTCACATTTTCCAATCTTTCTTTGTCTCCGATGTCATTCCATGGCTGTGAATTCATCATTCTGTATCCTGGATTGTGCCCAACGCCTTGTTCCAGACTGAGGGCTCATAATAACCTACACGCGTTTACACATCCTGTGCGGCAGGGCATTCACTCGCGAAGCATTTGCGTCTCCCGAAAGGAGGAAGCGTTTCGCAAATCTCGGCAGACGTCGCTTGCTCGCAGAATGTCAGTGATTTACTCCTCATATCCATCTTCATCAACTATCATTACCATATGTGTATCACGGCATATCAGCTGAAACAAAACAAAACTCAACATATATTTAAACACATATTATTTCTCAGATTATTAACTATGATCTACATGTGATTATTATTAAATCACGCAAGTTTCTTTCAATTCAATTTTTTGTTTATTTTTGCAGTTGCATTATATACAATTTGGAACACTGTGTATAATGCAGTCTCTACTGCTCTTCACTTTATTGTAGTTTAGGTGACGTGTAGTTGGCGCGAAGCGAAATTCATAAATTCTCGTCCGGAGTGTGAATCGAAGCAAAAGCTGTCTACCGTGCTCTTGTGTCGTGCGCGCGAACATCAAGATGAACATGAACACAATATCCTTCATCCTGCTTATCCTGGTGCGGGATGTAGCAAGAATGTAGTCGAGCATCTTGCATGCAATTTGCCGAAGACGCGAGTGCATAATCCGCTTGTTCTTTATTGGGGCGTCAACGCCGCCAGACTTTCAGAAGCCACATGTTCTTCAACCCCAAAACACCTAGATCATCTGTAATTAAGATTGCATGACATGTCACATATTTATAGTTCGCAAAAGGTATCAACTTGGAAAATGTTGATTATTTCTATATATATCAACATTTTCAATTTCATATTTCATATATATATATATATATATATATATATATATTTTTTTTTTTACATTGCGATTATTATGTGTTTCGAACCACATTATGTTATCTAGTAATGTTTAAACATTTATATTGCAATCCACTATTACCATATACATCAAAATATACAAATTATTGTCGTCATTAACGGAAGCGTGGATAAAGCAATTTCATATATTAAAAATGTAACGTATTCACAATAATTTCTGAACACTGATCGATATTTAGAGCTAGAACTAAGAGCTATACAACAAATTGTTATTATCCATGATTCCTGGTAGTTGCGCACCAAATTTTTATAAAATGACGGATGTTAGCAGCATAAGAGACGTATCGCACAGTATCCAAGCATTTTGTGTTTTCTACGTACGCAGCAAAAATCGTTTTAAAACAGTGTTATGGGAAGTGATGTATATTGCTTGCATTTGTGTATATTTCTGTGGAAATTTTGGTTATCTGTACAAGCAGTTCCAACTGGGTGGGAGTTTTGCCGATATTTCATTCAATTTATCGATGGTTATTTCTGTAATATTTAGCCTTTATGTAATTTATACTATCAAATGGTATGCAGATGTTGCCGTTAGTCTGTTTGACGATATGGATAGCAATGTATACTTAAAACTAGATAATAAAAAACTTCAAGAAACATATCAGACGAACAATGCAATTCAAAAATGTGTTTATCCATTTGCAACATTATTTGCAATATTTACGTTCTTTTTTGTTGAATTGCTACCTTGCGACATGGAATTGCAGCCGTATTCATGTGGCTATGTAGTGCCCAGTGTAAATATATTTAATTCAGTATTTAATTTTTTTAAATAAATATTAAATTTATATTTCAGTATTTTTCGTTGGAGATTAATCATACTTATCGGGCTCTATACAATATAGCTATGATTAGTTTTATCATATATCAATCTGTTTGCATACTAATACCAATGATTTTGGTGTATGGTATGGTGATATATTTGGAAACATTTTTCGAACAGTTTCAGGCAACTCTAGATGACATCACAAATTCAAACAATCGCGAAAGTCGGCAAGATCTTTTATTATTAGCTTACAAACAGCATATGTTGATAAGAAGGCTAGAAACTAATATTGCATGTTGTTATTATTTAATTTTTTAAAGCTGTAATGTTTTAGATTCTGGTTTAAAACAATATTAATGTGCCGATTGCCGGTTTTGGTTCAATTTTTGGTCGCTGGATTAGTCGTAGCACTAATATTAATAACAGAATTAATTGTACCTATATTTCTCTGATGTAAATTACTCTTAGTATTCAAAATATTTATTTGTAGAAATTTGATATGCTTTCGGTGTTTCACTTAGCGGTTTATGTATGGGCCACGTTCATAATAGGATATATTGGCGAAAGAGTGATAACTTTAGTAAGCTGCACAATACATTTAATGAATAAAGTGATTGATGCAAGTTTTAGGGCGAAAATATCAGAGAAGCTACTTTTTACGCTTGTCCATGGGATGGTGATATTCAGAGTGTGCGGATGCTTATGTTTATGAATATGAATTCCTATCGTGGATTCGTTTTTCCTCTTGGAGATTATGGATCTTATTCGTTACCGCTTGTGCTTAGTGTATGTAACTAATTCACTGAGAGATTCATCTTATTCGTATGCGACAATTTTTCAGGTTTACCAGTTTGCTTATTCTATTGTTATGCTTTTCCTCAATACTACACAAAATAAATTACTGTGAATGTTTCACAGTATGTTTTTTATTAGAATAGAATGTTTGGGGATAGTAGATTAATTTTATGGATTCTAAAATTGTGGAAATTGAGATAATTGTGCACTGGCTGAATTGTACAAAATAATTGAATCTGTTTCCGACTAAACAAACCGTCAGGACAATGAATTTCGGTTTAATTGTAAAACATACATCCGAGAACTTGTTAAGATATCCAATTAGGCATTCAAATGATTTCAACAATAATAACATTGACAGTGAATAACCTTTATCACTGTTTACCAAACAAGTTCAAAACAGACCACTTTCCACTGCACTGCTTACCCTGTAGTTGTTTGGTCTTACATTAGCGCAAATGTAAATTTTAGTTTATGTTTACCCAAAGCCTTCAGAATTTTGGGGAACCTGATGTCGTGTTAAATGTAAAGGACCAAATGTGGGAAGATGCAAAATGCAAAACTGAAAGACATTCACAAAGCGCTTCAAAACAAGGGAAAGTGAGCGGTGCACAATCGGAAGCTTAATTAGGTTTCTGGAAGTGATGGCTGCTGATATTGCGCGCCGAGGCGGGAACCACCGCCAATTATGCCAAGGCATGACCTACGAGCCTGCCAGACAGACCTACCGAAATTCAATTGAATATAAAGCATAGGAAGTGAATTGGGAAGTGGAGGACCTAGCGTCTGCATTTGTATGTGGATGGAATCAGTCAGAGACATACATATTAAGTGTGTTGTCATCTTTGAGTATATAATTAAACGACCATTTTGAAATACATAAATTTCGAAAATTGTAAAAAAAAATTATGGACAATTTGTAATTGTGCATGTCATTGCTTGCAAATTAACGTTCTTGAATTCTACAACTTTCTCAAATTTATGTGTCGAGTGTCTGATGTTTCGCAAACGGGTGAAAACTTACAAAGGCGTTATTTACGACTCTGACATTAATTCGCTTTAGCTCGATTTGAATTCGGCTCGAGTCGAGCTGCTCGCCTTGTAGAGCACGATTTGATTCGGCTTCGTGCATTCAACTTCCCGTTTCTGTAAGCACAAGCAGCCGGATCAGAGTCGAAAGATTTCGTCTTCATCACAAACTTTTGACATAATTAGCTCGTTATTTTCACGATTTCTGACTGCGTGCTGTAAAGTTGAGTAGAGAGCAATCACACCATGCACTGTGCTCGTATATTAGGACTACTACGCGCCAGCGAATTTGCTAATTTAAAGCTGAGGAAGCCGGAAGTAGGAGAACTTGGCGCGGTGAGAAGACGCACGCAGCGCGCACATTGTATTGTTTGCGTTGGTGGAGACGGTGGCAAGGCTAAATCAACACGTTTGTTAAACCACAGTGGGTTAAATTTGCACACACTAAATAAATAGATTGAGGGATTCTGGAGGTGATAATAAGTCACGCAAAACTAATACAACCTAGGTGAAAGAAAGAAAATGCCAAAAAAATTATGTTTCATGATAAATTTTACGTGATAAAATATTAATACAAGCAGGACATTTATTTTAGGTTTTCATATTTTTGCAATTTTCTATGCAAACATATTCCAACAAGCTGAACTAATTTTACGTCCAGATTGCCATATGTGCCCATTGCGAACCATCCGGTTGGTCGGTCAGCACATGTGGAATATTTATCACCACCCGGTTTTCCGGTTTCTCTCCCGGTCAGTTACCCCAACAGTGTGAAATTTGAATTCAAGAATGCATGATTAATATATGGAAAGAAGGGTCGGCTGCAAATATAAATGGAGATATTTCAAGTTTCCAATACATATTAATAATGATAATTGTTTACTCAATTTCATTGAGTGGAAATGCGAAGGAAATAATATTGAAGTATTTAATTATGGAATGGCGAACTTTTATTTAATTGCTCGGTAATGAGAAGTAAATGAGAAAATATTGCGGAAATTGCTGTTCAAGTTTTAATTACTTAAAACGTGATTTTATTGCAAACTTGAACAAAGTTTTCAGAGACCTCAAAAAGCGCGCAGAAGTTGGTTTTAGTCAGATCTTGAAAACAGTTTAAACATTTAACTAAACATACGGAAGTATTGCTTTTAAAATTTCAATTTAATATACTCAATTTTATTCAAGTAGCAATACAAATTATTCTGCAAAATGTTAAATTATTTAAGTTGGATTTTGTCAGAACATATAAAATCGATTTTAGCACAATCAGAATATGAGAACAGAATAGATATTAGCACGTTTTATATGCAATGAATATTTAATATCCTATTAATACAGTAGAATTATTACCCAATAAAATGAATAATAATAAAGTTGCATTAATGTGGTTCCACCTAATTATAATACTTATTACGATGTAGCTTTTGGGATGTTAATGTTTAAATAAATAAAATGTTGGCTCTTTGCTATTTTTTTAACTGTTTTTATAAAAAAAGCCCGACGCTCATCCTTTTGAATCGACTCATGGATGACTTCCCAAGATAATGTAGGTAATGCTGTCTTTTATACTTTTGCGCAAACCGTTACACTGATGAATAAGGCAGCGAACGGCGTGAGATCGAATGTCCTGGATATCCTGAATCTTCTGGATCTCTTGGATGTCGGAGCAGCAGCAGCGTGGGCGAGGTAATTAAAAGGAAGTCGTTCGAAAATGAGATAGAGGGCGCGATGTAAACGACAGCAGATATACACTTTGGGGCTAAAAGGAGTGAATAAAAGGAAGCGGAGAAAGAGAAAGTGCACATTAAGTAGACGCGACGCAAAAGAACGCGCAGGATGCTGAACTATACTTCGACGAGCAAAGGGGTAGAAGAATTAGAACGAGGTAATCAGTCAGACGGAGTAGAAGGAGACATATCAAAGGGATTCATAGCCGACCTGTATTTATAAGACAGTTTAATTAAAAATTATTGTTACAAAATGACAAATTAGTAACCAGGAAAGAAATATTTTGAAATTTTGTTTGAATAATATAAAATTACACTTTTATTATGGAAAATGAAAATGTTGCTTTGAAATAATTAAATATGTAGAGCGATACAAATTCTACGATTTTCAATTACCAAAGTGATGTCTTAGAAGTGAAAAAAACATTTCCTGAAAGGTAAATACGAGTAAATTACATAAATAATTAATTAACGCAAATTCGTAGCATTCTTTGAAGTCCGTAATACATTTACTAAATTTTCTAACCTTTTTTTATTGAATTATTGATCGTATATGATTGAAGTGAATTACTGTGAATTGAAGCACAAACGATAAATGTGTGCGGTACGCCAATGCTGATTTAAAGTAAGTGGCAAAATGCGTGAGGAAAATAATAATACCGCACAAAAAATTCACCTTTACTTTCTCTGGAAAAATGCATTGAATAAAACTACGCTGATTCTCTTGCCTAACTCTTACCTAAGGTTTACTACATTTTATGATAGCAAGAAAAGTGTTTTTATAACAGGAAAATCGTTAAGAAACGCATTAGGGTTCTAAAACGTTCTGACGTTTATGAGCTTCCTCCATTTCAATTTTCTTGCAGTTAGTTTAAGTCGATGCACTTTAAATCTTTCCACGTTGAGGGTAATGCTTGCGATGCATTACAATGCGTTGCAACTCCTCAACAACCCTAAATCGTTTCATCGCACATCCTGCAGCTATTTTTAGGTTTGCAAGAAGAGTGCGAGTTTATTCCGTCTTTCGTCTTACATTCCGTGCTCGTTAACGTGCTGACGTGCAAAATTTTTCCACACTTTGATAAGACGTTTTGCTATTCAAGTACAAACTGCAACTGTAAAAATGTCACGTATCACATAGTTGAAATTATTTACATGTTAGTTAAATAAATAAATAATAAAGTTTAGCATTTGTATAAAGTATATTTTCTAGTAATTATTGATTTTCTGATGGTACCTGTGTTGGATATTTAATTAATTTATTAAACAATAAAAATGTGTAACGTTTGAACATGCTTTTGAACGTTTTTGGAACAAAACTTTGCTCGGACTTTTAATTAAACTTCACATTTCCGCTAGCTTGTAGGTAAAATGAAAGCGTTTGTTTACAAGGTTTTATTAGTTTTAAAAAATTCAAGCATAATATTATTAATCCAGGAAACCACATATTAAAATTGTTTTATTTATGCTCCAAGAAATTTTTATCTAAAAAATATTTTTTTAAATAATTTATTTTCCGATAATTTTTTTTTCATGACCATAACTTGATTTTTGTACAATATTTATGTTTGTCATTAATAAATAAACCATTAAACTTAGAGATAAATTGCACACCGTCACAAACGCAACAACGGCGTGATGTTATGATTTACGATCGGCAGATTCTGCAAAACGTATCGTCGTGAACCATAACCGTGCCATTTGTTCACGAGACCGCGTTTAGCATCGGCGCCTGCGTCGCGACGCTTCGTCAGAAAAGCGCTGACTTCAGATTTTGTCATCGCCGCACGACGGCTCATTATTATTTGCACTGAGAAAGCTTGACGGCACGCTCACATTTACACCATTTTCACTTTACTTTATGGCACACAAGACACGACTCACCGAGTGAAACAGTGGTGTTTGCTTCACGAGGTCGTTTTTCCTGTCGTCGTGCGGTGGAACTAACGACGCTTTATTGCCGCAACAACACGAGGACAAGCATCACCGCCAGAATGAGCATAAAAAAGACAAACGACAAACTGGGACAACGATAAAACCACAAATAATAAGAAAAGACAGAAGAGATGCAATAAAATGCATAAAGTGCGAAGTAAAAGCGGAATAAGTGTGAGAATGATAACAAAAGTAGCAATAATCGTGCTATCAATAAAAGATACCGATTGCACACTGCAATTTATGACTGGGAAAGCTATAATTTATCAATTGGACTTTGTTTATGATATTTCAAAGAAATTCTGAATACTTTTGCAGTTTTTTCGATTTTATAAAAACAAAACCAACTAATCTTTCTAATTGGATATTAATAATTAGTTCTATTCTCAATTCAACCATTTCTAATTTACCATAATTTCATAAGCTGGCAAATAATCAGTTAGCAAAACAAAGCGAAATACGTGTAGTGCAATTTAAGCGGATTGAATAATTAATTCCTAATTTATATGCATTATGGTGATGCTTATTTGTGATTTCATCTAGTGTACATAAATCAATGCATTAAATATGATATTAAGGGATAAATTAAAAGATAGATAAAGTAATTTTTCTGTCATCTCTTGTTTAGGGCTTCACACGAGACGAGACTGGACGAGACTATCAAAGGTATCGTCTCGGAAAAGCGATACGAGACCGAGAATACGAGAAAAGTCTCGGTATCGTGTGAAGCCTTAGATTTTTGCAGTTCAAAAGTTTAGTCATTTAATTGCTAATTGCTTTTATTGTAAACTAAATCCAAAATACATACATAGTTTAAAATATTAATTTTTGATTGCATCACTTTTAATTGAAAATATATTTTTTAATTTTTCAAATTTTTAAACGTTAATGTATACTAGGGTACAATAATCGAGTTGATTTGTGTTGAAAGTAACTTACACAGATGTATACAATATCTTTGCTTCAAGAAGTACAGAAAAACACAAAATATATCTCCGGATGTGTAAACAAAGACAACATTTTCACAAAACTTTCAAAAAGTCAAAAGGTCATGATATTCGGTTACTGACTTGTTCTTTTGAATATACAAAAGAAATATTTCACAGATGGTCATATATTTGATTTCATATATTGGACCCATTCTCATTTTTCTAATAACAACTTCATAAAAAAAATTAACGAGACCAATAACGAGACCAAAAACGAGATTCGGACTGTGGTATCGCTATCGCCGGGAAATTGTTGAAACACGTCTCTCGGCAAAGCGAGACGAGACCGAGACGATACAAGAAAAGTCTTGGTATCGCGTGAAGCCCTACTCTTGTTGTTCCAAATATTTGATTTATGCAACGGGAAGTAAACATTTGCAACTATTGTTTGTTTTCTTTTCCAGACGGTGCTTCCAGCGGATCATGCATTCCATTGGTAACACCAACGAGCGTGCTACTGTCCGGCCGGGGGCGGGTGCGTTTCGAACCACATCCGCAGCGCACGCAGACCGCTACCGGCCCGCCACCCCACTTGACCGGATATTTGGCACCGGAGTATCGACCCGGAAGACGCGCTACCGACACGGAAGCCGAGAAGGTATCGCAATCCTCGTAGTCATTAAGCTCACCTCCTTTTTCTTCTTGTACTATTGCATTCGCATTTACATTTCGACGAGTATTTCTATATCCATTTCCGAATTATTTCTTTTATGTTACCAACATGAAACATGAAAACAAGTCGAGCGTGAAAATTTCTTTCATTTGTACCAAATTGCAAGCGTGCAAAAAAATGAAACGTTGCGCATTTTATTTCCAAAACGCACGCGCACAAAAAGAGCAAATAATAAAGCAAATTTTGCGTTGTGGAACAAAATGAAAATTTATTCATTATATAACAATGTGAAATCCGCTGCATGCCTGAGCGGGTAAAATCGTATTATAATTACTTCTTTCAATCAGTAGTTGGCAATTTTGAAACTTCTTTGTTAAGGGTGATAAATGTGCTCGTTGGAAGCTATAAGCTGCTTTTCTGTTTGCCTGATTCAATTTAATTAGCTCCAAAGCTTTCGTCGACCGGCCAGATTATCAATTTCGTTGTGATTGACTCGGCAAATTGGATATCCATTGGATTGGCGCTGATCCCATTGGAACAATTCAAACATTTCGAAACTTGTATGAATGCAAGTGCAGCAATTAAATTTATTCAAAGGGAAAACCTTTAATAACAAATTCCATAACTGCTTATGACTGTAGCAGTTTTTAAAAACACTTCCGGCATTATTTCACTATTTATGTGATAGTTATAGTTTTATTGTTGTTGCAGATTTTATAGCTAAGTAGTTTACTTAAAGATTAGAGTGATAGATAAACAATTTGCTGAAAGCTCAAATCCTGATGACATCATGCTCTGAACATCCATTATCTCAATAGAACGAATAAACCAAGTCCGAAGGGAATACAAATAGGAGTAGCACAAGTGGATGCAGATGTAAAAATAGCTAGTTTGGCCCCTATCATTCCGCATCATTTAGTGAGCACTTTCATTCTATGTTTGAACATATCGTTTGCCCACTCAACTTTAGCAATTTTCTAAATTGCGGAAATACTACTAAAGATCAATATAAATCTTGATTCTTTGACGTACGAAGTTAATGTAAATAAAATTGTGTTTTTTATGTTCCAACTTTATGCTATTAATTGAATTGGGTTAACAAACAACAATTAATATGATTGGCAATTAATTTTTACTCCAAAATAAATCAAATTAAAATCAAATCAAATGGACATCCAACGAATTTTACAAATATTTTTTGTTACATATTATATTTAAAAATATTTTAAATAATAAAAACATGTTTTACTCTAAGAATGGATGGCAAGACTGAAGTGGTTCTGAAGTTTCGTTAACTTTTCATTTTTTCATTTTTTTCATTTTTTGAAGATTACTATTGGTTTGAGTACGTGATTTAACCGTGGCTTGGTGCTTGTAGATGTGGATCTACGGCCTAGGCGAGACGCTGAAGAGGGCGACGTTAACGAGTCACGCCGCCGCCGCCCGCCTCAGCTCGGAGCTTTGCCAGGTGCTGGCGGACATGACGCGACCACAGACGGCTGGTCGTGCATCACTCATGCATCTACTCGACGTAAGTACACTTTGAAGTCATATTTAAAACTAACAAGTTATAAGAAATATAAAATAAATTCACGAGAAATTTTTAAATCGCTAAAAATTTCATCTACAAATATAGTTTTAATAAAATTAACTCTAGGAAAGCATTTAAAAGCTGCACCATAATTAATTCACCTAATAGATAAACTTTGTAAGGATTGAAACATAATAGTTATAATGATGGTATACATTTATTTTGAATTTATTCATTTAAGAGATTTTGTTGAATTAATTTAATTAGTGACAAAGGCGTTGAAACGAATAGTGGTAATACCACCCTGTTGTCTAAAATAATTATCTTTATATTAATTTGCAGGAGAGTTTATAATGATTGTTTCGTAGTTCAGGCGCACAAGGCGCCTCCTTAATCTCGCCTGGTAATACTATAAGGTTATGCAGGTTCTTGCTTGAGTTCCCTCTTCCTGCGTTGGAACATGTTCCAATCTTGTTCGTTTTGCTTCCATGAGTTTAATGAATCCTTCTTTCTTTGCCTTGCCCCCATCAATCTTGGGTGTATCTCTCTTACTTTCCTGCATCGTTATTTAAGCATTCCTTATTTTCGGATTCTTGAAGTGGGATTCTGCGATGCTTGCAACAAGTATTTACCAAACTAGAAACACATAACGAGTTCAACGACTAAACTATCTCACCCTATGCACGATTACAAGCTGCAGAATGCAGAACTAACAGGTTCGGCCGCAACTATCAGGTTTTGTGTTGGTTTCACTGCGTCGCAAAGTTCGCCGCTTGAGGTCAGAACTTTCTTGCTTTCTGGATAATTTCAAAACGAAACGAGTCCATAACAAAGCAAATTAAATGTTCCGCAACTTAACTTTATGTCTAACCTCGTGAAGGTATATCTTGTATTTCCATTGAAATCTTTGTGAATTTAATATTAAACTTACCGAAACATCAAATTACTTGCTGAAAGTTTCTGGTAGATTTTTGGTCGTTCTGTCGAATTATCTGCATGTACAATGTTGATTTAGTAGGAGTATTAATGAAGGACTGCGGTCTTGCGTTGGACTGCACTAAGTAAAATGGCAAACAGTTACGACTAGACGAGGACAGTTCAAACAGAACTGGGCAAAATTTGAAATTAAAGCAATCTAGTTGGTCCTCACAAGCAACCAGTTTGTAGAAACGGTTTTAATTAAATGCTATGCTAACCTGTCGGAGTTATATTATATTAGCTTAGAAAACATTTTGATAAAATTACACTTTTCGGTTATTTTTTGCTAAATTATGCAAATACAGTGAGATCCAACACTGGCAGGCATAAATTCCTGCCTGAACTGTTTGCTCCAAACAACAGCAGAACGTGTGACGTTCATGACGGCCATTGTCATAACATCTCATCGTGTTGCGCATCGGGTATTTTACTTTGTGGTCTTCGCCGGCTTCGTTTTGCTCTCAGTGCTGACAAATCCAGTCCAGTAATGCCAAACTAACAAACAAGGCACCGAGAAAATCAAACACAAGCGCTTCGGTTTTGCAATGCATAAAGCACATCAACAACAAGGGAAGCATGGCCAATCAAATATTATCTAATAATATCAATTCAAACAGGGAGAGAAAAGTTGAAAACTGTTTGCGCTGTTTGGAAATTTGAACCAACTTGAATTATAAATGTTCTAAATTGGGAAATTTTAATCTTTTGTTGGTTAACCTATTAAACTTTCCACTTTTGTCGTTTATTAATTAACCAACACGTCGGATAAAGCAGCATTGAGTTATGTTACCTATAGAATCCACTGTTCAAACACATTATAGTGAAATATTCAGCGCGATAAAGTGTACAACCTGACTCACAATTAATATTAATCGCTAAAGTTTTTGCGTGAAGCGCACTTTCCAACACCTATAATAATCGTCTGCGTGGGACGTCCAGCGAGATATCGCAGATTGGACAGGATGCTTTCCTTAATAGCTTTGATCTTCTGCCACCCTCTCGGAGCTGATGTACGCTAATCGTGCAAATTGACCGGTCGTTAACACTCGGCCCTTTCGTTTAGCAAACACATTTACTTGATTATTCTGGTTTGCAATTTGCCATTTCCCAATTGGAATATGCCTTTCCATCACCTTCAACTGTAATTTTAGTGAATTTTGAGTGCAGTCAGTATTAGTGATTGTGGATATTTAAGTGCGACCTAAAACAGTTCTGCGGTTCGATAATTTCACATTGGAAATTTTAATCAGTTGAATTAACCAATGCCAACAGGAATTTCAGATTTTGGAAATTGCGAGCATGCGACGGATTCATACAGGAATGTTTGAAATGTTAATTTATAGGTATGATAATATCCAACATTGATTTGGATATCAATTGCTCCATTCCTACTTTTTAAATTCTCTGAGTACAGAATATCAAAAATAATTTTGCATGTTATTGTTAAACATGAATCATGTCGGTATTTGTATTGTTAATTGAACTGTAACAATTACCGAATCGGAAGTAATATCAGCATGAAATTTGAATTAAAAAATATTGGCATTGCACGTGCAATACAAATACATATTGTGTTCTGTTTCTTATTCTGGATCTCCAAGATAGCAGTAAACGTTATTCACATGAGCATCATAAAAGGGTTGGAGTTAGGGCTTTTGCTGGTCTCGTAAATTCGAGGAATTTACGCCCCTCTCGCGCCCTAGCGCCCCATGATGAATGCGTATTCAAGGACGAGAACGAACGCGTGGAATTTCGTCGTTGTGCCAACTTTATTCGGCCGCATTTCGTTCCACTCGAAGCACTCCAGTGTTGCGCGCTCGTGGGCTGAAAAGATCCGCACGAATAGAATTGGAATGAGGAATGGCTAGCGGGGGCGGAACGCGCGGCCAGAAGATATATTCGCGGCGGGTTGAACGCGCAGGCGAATGATGGAAGGACGGCATTAATCCATCTTCAGCAGCAAAGTGTTTTAAACGATAGAGCATAAATTATCCACACATCAGCATCATTTTCAGCATGACTACACTATATTCAGAGGGTGTGAATACAACAACAGTAGGCATTACATGAAATTAGTGTTTTCAACTTATACCAAATCACGTGAGAATTAAAGTGATTTTTGCCACTTTTATTTTTTTATCAAATTATCACCCTTACGCAATTTTTCATTGATTTTATATGGTTGTATAGCCCGAAGGGTTTGGCACTGCAAAGAGTGCCCTTAATTGACACTCGATTCAATTATCGAAGTTCCACTCAAATGAGACAGAAATAATTTCCTGTCTTCACGTTGTACGTGCTGTCGCCGCTTTAACCCTCGTGCCATTTGCAATAGCTTCGTTGTTGCTCCCTGAACGTTATCTCGGACATGGTCCTGAGCACGATGACAAAATTGATGACATTGACAAAATTGACGATGACGAGAGTTTACACTGTATAAAATGGGATGTTCTCGTCACGCCTATCCTTTTAAACTTTTTTTTAGCCCAAATTTTTAACAAACATTCCAAACTTTTTAATGCGTACATTTTGTCTTCGCTAAAAAAATATATATTATGTTTATTTTTAATAAGATCCTTAAAAATGAACAATTTTTGTCTGTTAATAAGGGCTGGGTATTTTTTAATACCACGAGTCGAATAAAATGAAATTGCGTCGACCTAATTAAATTCAATCGCATTTTATGCAAATCAGGTTCATTTCCATTCCGTTTCATTAATTTTTCAATTAATATACGGGTGCGCAAAGAGCTAATCATAACAAAACGCACAGTGTGGCGAAAGAAACCCGAGCGAATCTAGATAATTTGTAAATCCGCTTACACAGCATCCGCATTTTTAGATTTGTGGATGTTTAATGTTAACATGAAACAATGCTTAAAATTAAATAAAACTAAAACTTCAAATTACATTTTATCACCAGAAAATTATATACACATGATTTTATCAACAAATTTATTTCAACTTTAATGAATTTATGAATAATTTAAAGTAGTTTGATTTGATTTTCAACAAAATAAAAGCATTCAAAGCTATATATGTAGATACATATTCATAATATTCATTCATCTATATTTTCTGCGGAGAAGATGAAAGACTTCTCTGCCATATCGTTCGTACACATGATAAATGTGAGTTTGAACCACGGGGGTTGCAATATGAGTTTGATCCCAACTTGTCGTGAGCTTGAAAATATAATTTGCTTCTACACCACTTAGACCTAAGCTGGAACATGCAATAACTCTGTTCAGAAATGTTTTTTAAATATATTTTCATTTGATATAATATAATATAATAAAATATGAATTTTGAAATGCGTTCCTTGTCGAAATTTAATTGAGATTCTAAAAATATGTTTCAGGTTATTTCTGACTACTGTAAACGAAGAGAACAAAGTAGACCCTTCTCACACATTTGTATGGACTTGCATCAAGAGGCCATGGCTGCACTAGAAATGGTCCTGGATACTCCATGGGGACCTCCGGCGATGCCGGAATTACGTTCTCTTACACGTAACAGGTCAGTTTGAATGTCTTCAACAAACTACTTTCATTCATATTTAATTACCTTAATTATACTGTTATTTATGGAATGTTTGTATAAATGTGTAATTATTTATTCATTGTATCCACACCTACAACATTCCAACATGAAATTAATCTTGACCTTGTGCGAATATCTCAATCACGCAATGCATTTCGATTCTCCAACAGTTCTGACCTAACGTCCACCAACACCACACATCAGGTGCATTCTATCCCACGTCGTTGGAAAAATCTTCGATCACCCAACAAACAGCGTCTTACTCGCGAAGCCAGCACTAGCATGGAAGATCTTGGAATGTCCGCTTCAGGTCCCATCTCACTCTCACCGCCTGCATCAATGCATAATAACTTGGGAATTACTTCAAATATGGGTTTTCATTTACCAGGGAAAGCAATGCGACCTAAGTCAATGTGTATACCAGAAGGCATTCAACTGGAAAATTTTGAATCCTTACCAGCTAGTTTTACACAGTCTGAGTTTAATTTGCACAGATTGCCCGGTGGTAATGCAATATCTGGTGAAAAAGGGTTTCGCCCAATGACTTCTGGTGGTACTACAGGTATCCAACGATATGGCAGTGACAATAACAAAAATGGAAGGCCTAACAGAGCAAGAAGAAATCCTGTGCATCGGGCTGCTTCGCGATTGTACCGAGCCGGAAGTGACTCTTCACCAAATTCCCCACAGAGTCCCATTTTAACGAATCTCCGTGAATGTGTAGGACCTGAGTTTGTTGTACGAGCATCTCTGCCAAGCAAAATGTTTACATTGCCTGATATTAAAGGTAGTGTGCGGAAAACAGTCACTGTGATTTTGTTAAACGGGCAGAAACTAGACATTCTTTGTAATCCACAGACAACTACAGCTGGACAACTCTTTGAGGTGATATAGTATTATTTTTTAACAGAGCGTATTTATCAACGATGTTGTTTGTAATTTGACAGTTGGTTATTCAAAAGGAGCACATAGAGGAAAATTTCATGCTCGGGTTGTCAGCTCTCATTGCCGGTGATTTTGTTTTTCTGCCTTCGGACACACGCGTTTGCAAAGCAATGCAAGGCAACGCGGCCGGAAGCAGTCTGACGCTGTTCATGCGCGTACGATTCTTCCTGCCCAGCCTGCGGGGCATACGTGGCACACAAGCAAAGCACTTGATGTATCTCCAGCTGCGCCGTTCCATTCTCGAGCATCAGCTGCCCTGCTCGTTCACACAACTTGTTGATCTAGACGGATTAGCCCTGCAAGCTGAGTTTGGGGATTATAACGAACGAGTAAGGATTGTCTGCTTTTTCTCACCGTATGCACTAAGCTATACTAGCAAATAGTACGGGAGTGTGGGTGTTATCTTCGTTAAGTGTAGCAAGATTTTTCTTTCTCATAGGAGCACGGTGGCCAGGATTATTTTCTCTTGGAGCACTACGTACCGGAAACAATGTCTGCCGTGGTCGATGATCGTAATCATCTAAAACGAGAGCTGATCCGTTCACACAAGTTCAAAATGGGTTTGGATTGTGATAAAGCCGAGGAGGATTTCATCATTGCAGCGCAGAATCTTCCTCATTACGGCGGCCATTTTTACACAGCATCCTGGGTAACTATTTCTACTTCATTTTCAAGTTGTATTTTTTTTTATTTTGTGATAAGAGTGAAAATGTCAGATTTCTAGTTAGAACCTAGTACCATAGAAGTTTCGAACGCTACTGTAAGCTAATCCTTAATAATCCGCTTTGCGTTGATAGGTGCTTAAGGACCATACACACAAGGACGTCTGGCTGTACATCAGTGCGCAAGGTATCAATTTGTACGAGCGCGCCAGCACTACCAACCAATGTGGACCGATGCTTTATGAAAGGTTCGAGTGGAAAACCATCCAGACTCTTTGCTATAGCAAGCAATATTTATGCATATTGCCCCACTCTATAAAGATGCACACCTCTAAACTCAAAAAATACAAATTAAAGATGGACCATAAAAAGTAAGTCACATAAAATGATTTTCTTTGGAAATCAATTTAGAAAAATATGTGTCCCCTTCATTAATCTCTGCCTGCAAAACTCAACCATCTGTAACATTTGCGTTTGACCAGGAGTTATTTCACATTCCGACTGGCGTCCCTCCACCATCAATTTTTCCTTCGGCTACGCACGGAATTCACCTCGCTGACGTCGCTTTCGGCGCAGTTCGGCATCCCGCTGAAAGACATGAAAAATGAGACGAACTCACTGTACAAGCTGGAAGCACTCACGAATCGATACCGGCAGTTAGACGCGGCGAGTGTGAATGCTGAGACGGAATTTCGCATAGAGTTCAGGGCCTCGTCAGCGTCCAGCCACGAAATTCCCAGTGACAACAAGTGGAGACGATGTAGGAGCGTGGCGGATTTTGGGACCGTTGACCAGGGGGACGATGCCGACGGATTGGACAATCTAGAAGCATTCCAGAATAAAGAAAACGAACAGCCCGGAAAGCAACATCGTGGTTTAATCTTGGATAGTAGTTGTTTGTCTGGAATGTCAGGGTTGTCAGGCATAAATTTCGGGGATAAAAGGAGAGGTGTCAAAATGGGCACCAGGGCATTCAGTAATGTTTTACCAGTAGGGCAGCGGGTTTCAAGGTCGATGGAAGCTGTCAATGTTTTGGGAACAGATGAATTAGAACGATTGTCTCTACAGTCTGTGTCAATACCTTGCAGTGAAGCTTCTATGTCTTCGCCAACTCAGGAGTCTAAACCGGAAGCTTATGTTTTAGGTTTGTTTCTTTTTATTGCGTATTTCAGGTGGGATCCTAATTATACTTTCTTTTTTTTTCAGATTGTTCAGCATCATCTAAAACCAACGAACACCAATTTCTCCCCAATTTTCAAGAATCCCTGAGTGAAACCCTACAAGAGAAACTAAACAATTTCTCATTTGTTGATGAACGTGTTCTGAAATCTGTTCAGATCAAAAAAGATATTCGGGGATCTCTCGGCATGCAAATCACTGAAGGTTCAGATGGAAAGGTCTACGTGCAATCTGTCATTCTCGGTGGGCCGGCGCATTTGGCCGGAAACATCAACGCCGGCGATCAGATCGTCGCGGTTGACGGCAAGTCCCTCCTCAGTTTGTCCTACACCTCTGCTCTCTCCCTTCTCAAAACAACGGGCAGTTCTGTCGAGTTCATCCTTTCACAGGTGAGCACTCATCAACCCCCAGTGACCGGATCCGCCAAACCAACAAGAAAAATTGAATCCAAATGCAAGATGGATCTGTCAGACATCAACGAGAGTCATCTAAAGTCGATGAGGCTAGAGCGCACTATGAATAAACTGAAACGGATCTCACTACAGCAGTCTGAAAATGTTGAGAAACATTTGACCGAGAGTTGTTACGACATATCGAATTTACATAAGTATTCGAATACGAATTTGAACACCCATTCCGGGCCAAATTCCCACGTGCCATATCACAAACATATTAGGTATGAAATAGAAGCGGAGATACAGAGTCCGCTATCACCAAAGCCATTCCAAAATCTACACCAGTTTCAAGCCACACCACTGAACAAAGCCAGGTCAAAGTCCTGCATGGAGATTAACAATAGAGCGGTTATAGTCGACGCAATACCGAAACCAAATATATTTGAAGTATTGGAAAGCGACATGCCGCCCGCGATTGCGTTACCCAGAAGTTTAGGGCTTAGCAGAAAATGGCGTGGACCAGTGAAATATCCTGTAACACCAGTTAAAAAAGATTTAGTTTTAGAGGATAACATTGAGAATACTTTGAGTAATTTTAGTAACTCTGACGACGAACAAGTTTTCATATAGACATTTTTGGCATATGACGTTTTTGACAAATATTAGTTCAATAGTTGTAGACAGCTTTATAGATTTATTTACTATACAAGATTTTACTACGTTATGTCGGATGAATGTGGGACAAAGCCGAAACTTGGCTGGAAGAGATATTTCACCCTGAGCAAACACCAAAAGGATCAACTCAGGCTGTTCATGCCCTCGATCGTGTGTTTTTCGGTAGCTACGATTTTGTATACAGTGTACATCTGCGAATGGAAGGAAGTATTGCAGTACATGCCCTATTACAATTTGAAATGGAAGACTGTTGAAAAGACAGATGAAGAAGAAGCGAAGAAAGATAGAAAATGTAAATAGTGTACAAAGTGAGGCTCACAAAATTTCGGAAAAATTCTTACTGGTGATTTAATAGGTTAGTATTTAAGTTACACAAAGTGGGGCAGAATTTTCAGAAATTTTGAAAAAATATTGTTAGTAAGATAGGAGGACTTTGTAACAAATAATTTTTATTTTGCGCTGCCCCATTTTAGTATTTATTTGAGATCAGTTATGATACTTAAGTCAAATATTTGCAGAAACTTAGAAGTACTTGAAAACCAACGGAAAATTACATGAAAATTATGGAAATAACGAAACGTATACATGGTAAACAATTTTGTGAATTTCTGAACATTTAGAGAAAGTTTTTAAACACATTTTTGACCAAACATTTGACGAACTTGAATTTCGAACGTGAATGAGTTTAATTAGTGCTTCCGTAGTTTAAATGTCAAAGTGCCAATGTTTGACGTACAGTAACTAAATGTAAACACACAAAATGTATTGTACATTAAATTTATCTGAACATCATGAACATGAACAACAAACTGACATTTCTGTAAGAATTACAACTTAGATAACTACTTGGTGCAAATGAGAGAGTAACCTGAGAAATTATTCAAAATGGCATAAACATGATAATAATTACGATAGCGATAACGATAATTGTTAATAACTAATGGGAAATTTGTGGAACTTATACGACGATAATAATAAAGTAGGCGTTTAACATAACGAGGACATTAATCGCGAATTCTAGGCAAACCGAAGGACCTAAGATGAGGATAATAATTTGGCATTAAGTTTGGCGCATGGGGCGGCACTTTAAGGACCTTTGGAGGACTTTGGGGAGCGCCGTCAAGCGGAAAGGACCTAAGGGAACAATGGACTTTGAATCTACGAACGGTACACTAACATACACATATATTCAAAACTGGTTTGCGTCTGGGAAATGTTTTGCATTTCGTAAGCTGCACTTCAATAATATCAACGCAATATTTAATTCCTTTTTTTAATTAAAATTTTCCGGTTATTTATGTACACAAAATTTAATTTTGTTTATTTCATATATATTTGTTTTTGGATATTAATTATTCAAATAAATTAAAATTATTAATTCACTGGTTGCTAAAAATAAACTTTAATAACTAATGAATTTAATACTGTTAAAACTAGTTACATATTTACGATTACATACTTTAATGCCAATGCAAAACTGAATATTTTTCCATTAATTAATTTGGTTACAATCACATCTGACCGCATGTTTTTAGTATTCAGTATAATTTATTAAAATTGGATTTTAATCATGTTTTGGTTATAATTAATTTATATAAAAACATTGAGTCTAATTATTTCTTTTATAATGAAATAATCAACGAGTAGCTTGAACGAAGAAATTAATTTAACGAATTGTCAAATAAAAATCTAATAAAAGCACATATTAAAAAATAAAATTAAACATGTTTAATAAAGTCGTTGTTTAAATATAAAAATATCCCAAATGTATAATCTATTAATACGCATGAATTAAAACGTATCAAATAAAGGAGAGTTGATTGGTGCCATAAAGAATACAACTTAAAAAAGTATTAATAAAGAAAACTTCTTACTAAAATATTGTACGATTAAATCTCAAAAAGCGTGAAATTCTTAACAATTACAAATTTAGTTTAGAAAATCTTTGTAAACTTTTGCAAGCAAACTTCTTTGAAATGCGCTTATTGATCTATTTAGCTACTGTTAGTTTTTAATAAAATCATTCATTGCCGCTTGTAATGTAAACTAAAAATACCGCATTCATTATTCATCCTTGCATACTAATATAGACTGAAAATGTTAATAAACAATGTGGCACTTTGTTTATACGTGTAATATAATTATACAAAGCTAAACAATTGTTCAATGTTCAGTATGTACTGTTTGGCAATTACTGCTTGTGTTAAAAATACCTACTGAGAATTGCAGGAACCCAAACTAACGTTTAGTTAATTAGTCACGAATCGTTTTTAAATGTAAGGCAAATTATTTAAAAGATGTGTGCCTAAATACTAAATAAATTTTGTAATAAAATAAATGAAAACAATGGAAAATATCATGATGAATGAATGTCACGTTTATTTGTTGCTCTCTTTAATTACCGTCATTAACATTTGTCAACATAATGCACCGACATAAATGTGGTGAATGCTCGATTAAATTATGAATCGAAAACTTACATTTAAATACTAACGTGTATTCGTGCTAAAATAAGCATTATTAATTAATTGAATTATAAATTGTGTTTGTGTATTCTATTTATTTTGCAGTAATTATTGCCTCAATTATCAATGAATACCAGCTGTATGCTTTAAATAATAATTAATGGAATTTCAAATGTATTTATGATTTACCAACGAGTAAAATATTTTATAAAAACTGATTTAATCTTATTGCTGTAACAAACGTTAAATGTAAAAAATCTAGTTGTTAAATATTTGCAAAGAATAGCATACAATAACGTTGAGTTAATTACGATAAACGTGATCATGATAATACCGTAATAATTATAACTTATGGAAAGGCATCACAAAATGTGGCTGATGTTGTTATATTCTTTACTGTAATCACACGTTAACACATATTGTAACCAGCAAATGTTAGTTAAGATGGAACATACTGGAAAATTATCAGTAACAAATATTTGTCATATCAATTAATGAAATAAAAATGCTCCTTTATGTTAACATTGATTTGGTTTTATTTATGCCATAATTACCGTATGACCTATATTCGCCACACGATTGACGTTATAACAAAATATTATTTCGATAAAAAATCCAAAATCACAAGGGTACAATATTAATTTATTTTTTCTACTTCCACCTTTAAAGCGCCAGTTTTTGCACGGTTTTTAGACGCAAAAAATGGTTCTTTGTATGCGGACAGCCAAGGTCGTGAATAAAGTACTTTAACTAAACGTGCTTTATTCACGGGGTGGAGCTTACGCCTGCCCATTTGCCAACGGTTATACAAATCAAAGCTGGCTCGTGTGGGCGCGGCACGGCATTTATAACCTTAGAATTCTCGGCAAATTTCAGCAAATTTCAAAGATTTAAAATACAAAAGTTTAAATACAAAAACCTCAACGTAGAAATATAGTGGATTTGTTAAACGCTCGCTACGCTCGCTCATTTGATACTTCATACTTCAAATACTATAAACATTATTGTGTATATAAATTTTATTGACATTTATTGATGATGGAGTACAAAGTTTTTCGGAGCAGCTAGTAATGTTATCAATATAGAATAAATAAGTTATGCTTTTGAAGTTTCAAATAATAAATATAAATATGGAGGTGTAAATAAATTATGCAAAATCCAAGGATGTTGCCAAGGATATAGATTGAGCACACTACATTCATTTAGTAATGGCCAATGTGAATATGCTCTCCATGATGCCCACATCCTTCATGACGATGAATGTGTTCCTCGTGTGTATGAAGGCAGTCATCACCATGATAATGCACGTACCCACCATCATGTCCACATCCATGATGACGGTGAATGTCTTCTCTGGTAAAGGGACAACCCACAAGGTGATGGTGATGACTGAGGTGCTCGTCTCTAAAGTTGCAGCCTCCCGCACCATGACGATGGATATGAATGTGATCGCCATTGTGTGGGCAATGATTGTGCTCGTGAATATGGACACCATCATGTCCACAGTGCTCATCATGGAGGTGAAGATGTTGATGTTCATGAGGACACCCTTCATGAATGTGCTCATGGTCATCAACAAGGGGAATGTCTATATCATGATGATGAATGTGAAGGTGAGTTCCGTCATGAGGGCAGCCATGATGTTCATGTATATGTTCTTCTCTGTGACGGCACTCATCTCCGTGGACATGCAAATGGACGCCATTATGCGGACAATGCTCATGGTGATGTATATCTCTGGTAGTGTAGGCGCATTCACGGTCTATGTCACGTTGCCAAATATGCATATGTTCACCATCATGGGAGCATCCATGATGACGGTGGATGTGTTGCCCGTGATGTCTACAATCGTCGCCATGGACATGCAAGTGGTATCCTTCATGATCACAGCCATGATGGTGATGAATATCGTTATCAGTATAGGAACAAATGCCGGGGCCATGTGAATGATGGTGATAGTCAGGTCCAACATCAGTAAAGACACATTCTCCATGATGGGTATCCAGATGGTGATGGAAGTGCTGACCGTTGTGCGGGCAGTGGGAATGGATATGAATATGTTCTTCTTCATGGGGGCAGTCCCCATTATGAATGTGAATATGCTCGTTCTCGTGGGGGCAGTCACCGTCATGATGGTGATGGTGCTCATCATGTGCAGCCAAATATACAACTTCATGCCCATGGTGATCATGGTGGTCGTGATGATCCTCCTCTATTTCATGAGAATGGTCATGATGGTCATGGTGGACCTCAACTTCATGAGAATGGTCGTGATGATCGTGATGGTCGTGGTGGACCTCTACTTCATGAGAATGGTCGTGATGGTCGTGATGTTCATGATGAACTTCATGTTCTTCATGACTATGAGTTTCGTGATGGTGATGATGAGTCGTTACAGTGTGATGGTGATTAGTGTGATGTTCATGATGTACATGGTGTTCGGTTTCATGTTCATGTTCGTGATCGCACTCATGGACATGGTCATGGTCATGGTCGCAATCATGGTCATGATCGTGATCGTGTTCTATGATAATTTGCTCTGTATGAATGTGGTGACCATGATGGGGACATCCCTGATGGACATGGATATGGGATTCGTGATGGGGACAATCATTGCCATGGTAGTGCAAATGCCAACCATTATGACCACAACCATGGTGAGAATGGATATCTTCTCTGGTGTAGGAGCATTCGTATGATGAACTGTGATAGTCTTCTTCATTATCAGTAAAAGAACATCTGTCACTTTCTCTGTGGCTATGAATATGTTGACCATGATGGGGACAACCACGATGAGAATGAATATGAACTTCATCGTGAGGGCAGTCACCATCATCATGATAATGGACGTGTTCGTCAAGATGGGGACATTCATTGTCACTGTGGTAATGATGGTGGTAATCATGTAAGAGATGGCCCCCATGACCACCATGATGAATAACTTCTGTGTGAACATGATCGTGATCATGTTCAACTACAATTTGCTCAGTATGAATGTGGTGACCATGATGAATACATCCCGGGTGAACGTGAATATGGGATTCATGATGAGGGCAGTCATCTCCATGGTAATGAAAGTGCCAACCATCGTGACCACATCCATGGTGAGAGTGGATGTCTTCTTGGGTGTAGGAACATTCGTAAGATGAACTGTGATAATCATGGTCATTATCGGTAAAAGAACATCTGTCACTTTCTCTGTGGCTATGAATATGTTGACCATGATGGGGACAGCCACGATGGGAATGAATATGAACTTCATCGTGAGGGCAATCGCCATCATCATGATAATGGATGTGTTCGTCTAAATGAGGACATTCATTGTCACTGTGGTAATGATGGTGATAGTCATGTAGGGGATGGCCTGAGTGAGTATTTTGAATTACAATTGCTTGGCCATGGTGTGCTTGGTGTTCAATTGATTCATGCACAATGAGATCATGTCCGGAATGGCTATTGTGGACATTAATAATACCTACATCATCGTGGCTAATAGGCACAACGTAATGTTCATCAGTACCGCAATGACCATGTTCAACAATTACTTCCTCAGTGTGAATGTGATGTCCATGATGAGGACAGCCACGATGGTTATGAATATGGGCTTCATGGTGAGGACAATCGTTTCCATGGTAATGCAAATGCCAACCATCGTGACCACATCCATGATGAGAATGGATATCTTCTCTAGTGTAGGAGCATTCATAGGATGTACTATGGTATTCTTCTTCATTATCAGTAAACGAACATGAGTCGCTTTCTCTGTGGGAATGAATATGTTGACCATGATGAGGACAACCACGATGGGAATGAATATGTACATCATCGTGTGGGCAGTCCCCATCATCATGATAGTGCACATGTTCATCAAGATGAGGACATTCATTATCTGTATGGTAATGATGATGGTAATCATG